ATGTTCGCGAACATTATTAAACGAACACTAAACGAGCTTGTTCACGAACATTAATAAACGAACACAAACAAACTTGTTCACGAACATTATTAAATGAGCACAAACGAGCTTGTTCACAAACATTATTATTAATCGAACACAAACGAACTTGTTCACAATCTCTTAGCAAACGAGCATACAACTGTTCAAGCTCTGTTCATTTATTAACTGAGCTCTAATTTTTGTTTGCTAATGATCCGTTTATCTTAACAAACGAACATAAACGAACGGTTACCGAACACGACATGAGTAGTTTGCCGAAAGCTCTGTTCGCTTACACCCCTAGTACTTTGTCCTAGTATTTTATATATATATATATATATAATAATATGACTTATATTTGTTGGGTGTCATGAATTAGTTAACATCACAAAATTAAATATTAAATCATTTAAATAAATAGTGCCCGGTAAGTCACATTAGAAAAATTCATGAGACAAACTCGACTAGAAATATGTTGACAAGAATCACATTCATCATTTTAAAGTACAAAAATCATAATCCACTCTCACTTGACCAGTCATTTTAATCTTGAGGAGCCCGTTTTAAGAGCATCACGACCAGCGCATCATACAGAGTTTTTAGAATAGTAAATGGAGATGTGGAGTGAGAGAAAATGGAGAGGGAGTGGTTTGGATTCCTCTGCAAAGGATGAATATTGGAACAATACTTTTTTTTTTTTTGAAATTATCACCTGCTGTGCATGAGGTGGCTAAACGGGCGCGTACAATAGTGGTTTGACGCACCTGACGCATTGTTTCCTCATTATTATTTTTTATTATTAAATATAATTCAGTTTTGTTTTTTTTTTTCTTTTTCTTTTTTCTCTCCCCTCCCATATTCTTTTTCCTAATCACACTCTCAAAAACTCCTTTAAAAAAGAACTCTACATGCTCTAAATGGAGGAAGGCTATTGGCTAGCTTACTATGGGTACGTTATAAATGAAAACAAAAAAAATGGAACTAGGTAGTGCATAAGATGATAACATTTTAGTCCCACAACGAGGTAAGTACGTGAATTGTATGCATATATAGATCAGACATATACCATATTACTATCAGCATTATTTTAATTTTTTGAAAGCAAAACAAACCACAATATTATACCATCAGCATTCAGATTATAAATATTAAATATATTACATAGATTCATTTCATCATCCATAATACATGGATATTATTGTGAAGATCATTTTTTTTCCATCTAATGTGATAATAAAACTATTTTTATTCATTAGTTACTTTAAATTGGCCAACCTCACCCAGCACCCCGTCTTTAAAAATGAATATATTTATTAATTAAACATACATTATATATATTTTTAAGTAGTACTGACTCTGTTACAATGTAGTATCTGTTTATAACTATTTTCTCAATCTATTGAAATACAAAGAGTTAGGTTCAAATCGATGACCTCTGAGTCACTTAATGTCACTAGACCAAAAGGTTATTCACAAATACAAATTATATAATATTACATCAAATGGTGAAAATTGTTTATACTTGTACGGTTGTACCATGATCCAAACACGTGAATTGTATACATATATAAATTAGACACACACCTGCCATATATACCATCCACATTATAAATATATTATATAGACCAGACACACATCTGCCATGTTCCATCACATTTGCAGATATAATAAATAGGTTATTTTCATTACACCTAATTATTTCACACACACACACACACACACACACACACACACACACACACATATATATATATATATATATATATACACTAGTTTTCATGGGATAATATTTCATATTTATTTTTAAATAAGTATTTCAAAATATATCAATACAATATTATATATGAGATGTTTATGTATAAGTGATTGAATGTTGAATTTGTTTATTTAAATAGGTAATTCAAAGTATTTGAATGCAAGATAATATAGGAGAGATTGATTATAATTGTCATTAAAATAAATGTTTGTAAGATTGTAAAAATGCTATCTGCTAGTCAAAATACTTAGTCTAAAAATGATATGATAGTCTAAATAAATATTACTTTTGGTTTGAATTTCGATCTCTAAATCATCGCAATTCTCTTTTGGATAACATTGTCATTGTCTTCATATTCAGTACTTGTCATTTTCTTTTTTATTAGTAGTGTACTAGTGTGTCATGTGCAATTGGGTTACTGGTGGTAGCATAGAGGGCAACTTGATGCAATGAGATTATGGTGTAGAAAGCTATGGATTTGCCTTGTTGTGCATAGGGCTAGGATCTTAGTTGTACTATGAACTCTTGATCTTCTAAGCGCATGTTGATCTTTGGCAATGGTAGTTTTTTCCCCTATATGGCTATATGTGTCCACACGTTGCGAGATGTTTATCGTAGATTGTCATGTGAAAGTATTGAACAAAATATTAATACTTAATATATTTGGATAATTAAGGTTAATTAGTAGTACCTATTGTCCTACTTCCATAACTTGCATTGTATACTTGATAGTAATAACAATGACTCTACAAGTAGTCAGAATACTTATGCCGCAATGTGGCCAGCTTCATCAACAATTTTCATATTCATTTTGCACATGTTCATTTTGAAGTTCATATTTTTAGAATTAGTATGAATGAGTATAGTAATTGATTTTGTGTTTGTGCCTGTGTGCGTGTTTTTTATAAAATATTTTTGATGAATTGATACTAACCTTGGAGTACCTACTGCTACGTACCTTTTCACCATAATGCATGTAGTTAAATAGTTTGTCACTTTGTGCATAAAACCTTTTTTAAACAATGGCTACATCCTATATACCAAGTATTTTTTATGTCATGGTTTATGATGCTTTTGCCTTTAATCCAAGCATGTTGAGCCTAGAAAATGAAATGAATTGTAAATTTATATTAGTTCTAACATATTTAAAGGATGCACAATAAGTATTTTACATACATGATCAATGAATGCTGCAACAGTGACTATTTTTTAATTGAAATTTCTTCATTTTCTGGATTCACAAGAGTGATTGCAACATTGTTGTAGTCTCGGCATCTTTTTAATGCATCAACTGTATCACGATGTCCTATTGCCCTATATTGACATTTTTAATAATGAGTTTTAAATGTAGTTACATAAGATAATGGTCTAATTACCATTTACACATTATTAACAACATAAAAGCATATAAGTCCTTCAATTGTTCTGTTCGAGGTACTTTTGATTCAACGATTATTGTTGAATGAGTTGTTGTGTATTTTTTTTATTAAGATAATCTAAAATGTATAAAATTTATAGTTTGTTGTTCAATGACCATTTTTACAATTGATGTCAATAGATTATGAAGATAAATAATTCAAAATATATGATCACAATAGATATTGTTATAATGATATAATCGTATAAGACTAATTATTTGACCAAAGTTCATATTAAATTTTATATTATATTTTTTTAATACACTCTGACATATTCGTAGTATATGGTCAATAATTATACAAACTCTAATTAGGATGTAGTTCAAACCTACCACCTTTCTTATAGAAATCAATGAGTAAGTTAAGAATAATAAATAGTTAACGGAATACTTTGTTACTGAACTTTATACTAATGGAATGCGGGAGTATTTAAGGAAAGAAAATTATATAATAGGGGTAAAGTAGGACAATGAAAAAAAAAAAAACTAAAATCAAAATAATCTGAACCATTTATTTCATCAAGTAATTACACCAACATTTTTTGTTAGTTCCTGTTAGGGGTCTAACTTTATTGATTTTTATTAAGTTTAATTGTAGATAGATGTAGATATAGATCAAAGATACATATGTAGTATATATATACAATCAGCATTATGACTATGTTTGACATACCTAACTTATAAGTGATAATAACTACTAGCTTAGGGTGTGTTTGGAAATCCGGAAAATGATTTTTCGGGTTTCTAGTGTTTGGAAAGAAGGAAAACTAAAAGTCAATGGAAAATATTCTCTTGGTCAATGAAAAATGAGCCCCTTTTTCAAGAAAATGACTTCCCCATTTTTTGAGGGTAAGTCATTTTCCATCTTCCAATCTAAACATACACACAACAAAGCCTTCCCAGCTTCTTCTCCCAACTTCACCTCTTCCTTCACCAAAAGACAGTATTCCATTGTACAGCCAAACACATGAAAGGAAAATGACCCATTTTCCAGAAGTCATTTTCCTGGTTTCCAAATAGAGCCTAAGTTTACATTTCAAAATAAACTATTATTTTTTCCGGCACAACAAACATATAGCCTATAAATAAATACATTATATAGGTTAATCATCACCAACAGCAATACACAATGGTTAAAGTAGTTGCTTGGAGTATATTATGTATTATTTTGTGTTTGGCATTTCTGAGGAAGATTGTGAAGAAAAGCCGCGGAAGCTCATCGGTTCCCACAAATTGGCCTGTCATCGGAATGTTGCCGGCGATCCTCAAGAATGCTCACCGCCTCCACGATTTCGCGACGGAGCTTCTCAAAGACGGCGGCGGCACATTTGAGCTCAAAGGGCCTGCGTTTGCCAACTTGGACATGCTCGTCACTTGTGACCCTGCAAACATCAATTACATTCACAACAAAAACTTCACCAACTACCCAAAGGGCACCCGTTTCCAGAAAATCTTTGAGATTTGTGGAGATGGGATTATTAACTCCGATTCTGAGATCTGGGCGCTTCACCGGAAAACCACCATTGCTCTCATGAATCACGTCCGTTTCCGCCTCTCGTTGGAAAGGGCTGTCTCGGAAACGGTGGAGCATGGATTATTAACAGTTCTTGATCGTTATGCTCAAAATGGAGCCTACTTTGATCTGCAAGAAAATTTCAAAAGATTGAGTTTTGATCTAAGCTGCCAAGTCTTTCTGGGTAAGAACCCGGGAAGCCTTTGCATTGAGCCACCCGGCGACCATCCTTTCCGTAAGGCGATCAACGACGCAACCAACGCCATTCTCTACAGACATATCCTCCCAGAAAGGTGTTGGAAGCTACAGAAATGGGTGGTTGGGATTGACAGAGAGAAGAAGCTTTCTGAAGCTTGGGATACTATTGATAACTTCATATACACCATACTTTCTGAGAACCAAGAACATGACAAGACAGGGTTTATCTCGTACAGACCATCAGATAGTATCTACGGGTTTTCCTCGTCTGATGAATCTAATTTCAGCATGTTGGCTTCACTCTTGAAAGCATATAAAGGAAAATCGAAGCGATTTCTTAGAGACACTTTGGTGTCTTTAACCATAGCCGGAGGAGGAGGTACGAGCAGTGCAGCCATTACTTGGCTCTTTTGGCTCCTGGCTAAAAACCCTCGGGTTGAGGCAAAGATCCTTGACGAGATCAACATGAATCATGCAAAACAAAACAGGGTTTTTAAGGTAGAACAATGTCAAAACCTAGTCTACCTCCACGCTGCTTTGTGCGAATCTCTTAGGTTATTTCCACCAGTACCTATGAACCACAAGCTCTCATTGGAGAAAGATGTTCTCCCTAGTGGCCATAAAGTCAACCCAAACACACGAATCATCACGTCGTTTTATTCCATAGGGAGGATGGAAGCAATATGGGGTAAAGACTGCATGGAGTTCAAGCCTGAGAGATGGATTTCAGACACCGGAGGAATCAAGCATGCCTCATCCTACAATTTCCCCATTTTTAACCTCGGACCCAGGACTTGCTTAGGTAAGGAGATGTTTTTCCTAGTGGCGAAAACAGTTGCGGCTAGCATCATACTCAACTATCACTGCCAACCACTAGAACCTCATTCTCCAGTTCAGTATTCAGATACTCTTGTTCTTGAACTCAAACATGGTTTCAAGGTCAAACTCAACAAACGTACCTAAGTGATCGATACCATCAATAAGGTCATATGTATTTTACCTATAAGTGATACCATCAATAAGTTCTATTCTGTGTTTTATTCTCATTTGCTTCAGTTCAGATCTGGCATGAAATATCAGCTGCGCTGTAATTAACTGTTATTAACAGATTTATTTATGGGGATATATATTAGACTAACTGTTATTGACGGAAACAATCAAACAAATTAGGATATTGGACTAACTGTTATTAACAGATTTATGGGGATATATATTAGACTAACTGTTATTGACGGAAACAATCAAACAAATTAGGATATTGGACTAACTGTTATTAACAGATTTATGGGGATATTTTCAAAAAAAAAAAGATTTATGGGGATATTGGACTAACTGTTATTAACGGAAACAATCAAACATATTTCTGGGCTGGATGATCAAAGTCCATAACCAGTCCAATAAACCTAAAGCCCAAATTCAATACACTATTGCCAAAGGAAAAGGCAAATTATGTTGTGCATACGGATGCAAAAACGACGTCGTTTATTAAAAACGCGCGTCTCCCCTTTAAAAAAAAAAATTCAGGTTCGATTCTCAGCAACAACATAGGAACTAAAATTTCAGAATCGATGAACTATAATTCCAGAATCGATAAACTATAATTTCAGAATCGATAAACTATTATGAACTAAAAATTCCAGAATGAATGAACTAAAATTCCAGAATCTATGAACTAAAATTTCAGAATCTATGAACTACAATTCCAGAATCGATGAACTACAATTCCAGAATTGATGAACTATAATTTTAGAATCGATGAACTATAATTTCAGAATCAATGAACTAAAATTCCATAATCTATGAACTAAAATTCCAGAATAAATGAACAACATAATGTTGTTGCTGAGAATCGAACCTGAATTATTCTTTTTTAAGGGGAGACGCGCGTTTTAAATAAAACGACGTAAGTACGCATTTCATAAACCTCATTCATGTATATATATAATAACTTACAAATTAATCCGCATTGACAATTCAGTTGGTCACAGTGGTGAAGTTTGAAAATAATGATTGGGATTTAGTTTCACCAGTAGAAATGTGCACAATGGATCTGCCCACTTTGAAAATAATTCCCACATTACCGTTGCCCACTTTGAAAATAATTCCCACATTACCGTTGCCGAGGTTCAAATAATTATCTCTTTTTCTAAATACTGGACACTGAACCATTGAACTAAACTCGTGCATGCGGTTATATAACCATCTATTAATATAATGTGCATGTCCATTACTTAATTAAGGGAATGTTGGACTAATGATCATGATTGCTAAGTTATGTCTTGGGAAACGCATGCACTCATTTTCAAGACTTTCCCTAAACTACTCGGCATATTAATGTGATATTAAATTTTGCACATACTAGCCACATAGTAGTAGTATAAATGTGTGTGGACCGAAACAATTAAATTATGTTGGTACGTAAGTGGTAACCTACGCAAACGTGACACGTAACGTAACATGTAAAAAGATGTTTAATTAATTCCAACCAAATTAATCGAATAGTTGATTAGGTAACTACAAAACTAGTTCTAAGTTTGACTATCCGTGAGAATTGTTTATTAATTTTCTTAGTTTGAGTCAGTCAATTATAAACAACTTAAATAGTTAATCTCTTTTGATATCTTTTATCAATTAGAGTGACAAGACAAAATACGTACATTTTCACATAACAGCTATGGGCTTGTTTATGACCTATATTAAAGGCAGCAATTTGCGTAGACAAGGATCAGTACAAGATTAATCCATTAGGATTGACCCTAATACCGTATATATTATGAAACCTTAAATTTAATCAATGACTTAAAGATGTTGTTTGTTGCACGATCATAATTAGGTTATCAATTTGCGAATCATATTTTAACCAAAATTTCATTGCGCACAATTTCGCCGATCCAATACGGCACCCACTCGTGACGTTTCTTAGACATAAATCATAATGAATGGAAATTATGGTTTGATTGCAGAACAAGGCATTCAAATAGCCATGATTTATATATCACAATTAATCACTTAAGTTGATATTTGTATGCATACTTGTGAGCCATAGAATGAATTCATTTTTCTTTAGAAAGATGGCACTATATACACGCAACGCATTTTTACACACAAATTTATATAATTTTGTTGGATTTAATTTGATAATGAGTTGAACTTGATACAACTATATAGATCTGCATGATTTTACTAGGCAGTATTATACACTTATATTAGTGCCAATAGTATCCCGTAAAACTACATAATTGTACCAAATACAGTTTGGCACTGGTGTCGATCAACATTGTAACAATTCTCTAAAATTATGTTAACATATACAAATTTATGTGCAAGTAGTACAATTATTTCAATTTTATGGGGTTCGGAACCCTAGGGTATTTAGTTGGAAAGAACTTTTTGATCACTTTGAAGATTCGAGAAATATTTCAATTCATTACTGACGAATTAATGAATCCGGCCTGTATGATATCACATATTAAATAGAGCTAGCTAGAATAGTCACATACATTTGATTTGAAGTTTCATTCCATAGGACCAGCTTAGCTTCAATTCCTCATATCAGATCCCCTCTTCATAAGGAATCTGCAATATATTTCTGGCTCAAATTTCTTCATATCTAACTTCTGCTATATAATTGAAGATTTATCTAGTTGGATATAATCATTATTTTTCCACTTTTTTTTTTTCCGGCAACCCACAGATAAATATTGGTGAAGTCTACCTTGTGATTCTAATCGATAAAAGACAAACCAACTTATGTTGTCCATAGATAGGCGGCTCAAAATAAGAAAATTAACAGATAGTTTTCACGAGTCAAACTTGAAATCTTTTGGTTATCAATTTAATTGTGTGATGTCCCATTTTTTCTTCTTTAGATTAGTTTCATTCGTGGCATCTCAATAATGATTGACTAGCTGCTCTACTTTGGTTGTTTGTGCCTAATTATCTGCATTGTATCTTCCCTGGCCTATTGTCATCTTCAATTCTGATCCATCATTTAGCAGTCCATCTTGGCAGAATGTCGTACACATAAAGCGCCTAATCATTAATTGAGGTTTTTTCCAACCATTAAGATTATCTTTATCCCTGAAATACTCTCACTTTCAACAGTGGTCCTACCTCACCGCTCTACATCATGTAATTCTTTCACTATTTTCTTTACCTTCGTCACTTCGTGCAATACTCTCTCACCTTCAAAGAATCAAAGTCCTTCCCGCTTTATCACATCACATCAATACAATAAAATAACAAAGTAAAAAAGTACAAAAAGACTATCGCATGACAACCTTGTTTGTACTATATGCAGGCTTGCATTACATACACCCAATGTTGCAAAATACGTTAGGCGCCCGATTTTTTAATTTTTTTGTTTAAATTTAAACTAAAATTTATAAAAATTCACTAATAAAATATAAGGTTTCACCAATTTTTTCTTAAAAACTATTTACATAAGTGGTTGTAAAATTGTTCAAAATATTGTTGAAACTATCTAAATTCATAAAAAAATTAAAATTAAAAGTGAAAGAATCATTTTTTTTTTTTTTTTTGAGAAATTGGAGGGACAAACCGCCTACAGCTTTATTTAAAATATATTCTGCCGTCGATCGTAACATTAGTGAGACCAATGCGTAATAAATCATTGGACACGATATCGATCACGTACAATAACAAAATATTGGTGATATGATGAAGTGTCCCTTTCTGTACAGATGAGTTTAATTTAATTGCTAGGGTTCATCAGAAGAGTCATTTTCTTGAACCTGATATCAGGTGAAGTATGGTCAGTATCAACTTGCAGTAAAGATTACCACTTCCACTGATTAGCTAGCTTGAATGCAGTGGCACTCGTCATCATATCATCATATCAGGCCATTCTAGATCTTGCTAATTTCTTTCACTTGTGATTTGTTTTACTTTTGTTTGTTGTTTTTTTACATTCATTATTATTATGAAAATTGACTAATCTTTGCTGAATTTGGACCCATTGTGCATGGAGAAACCCATTGTGATGTGTATCTACACATGGGGGATTCTTGAAAATGAAAGCCATATACTATTTCCACCACATAAGTGTAAATTTCCTGTCAGGACACCTGTCTACCTCCAACGCTACAAAACAAACCCAATCAATTATGAGGACAAATTTATATCATAGGTAATTCCACTTTACAGTGTTAATTGTATTTGGTATAATTATATATAAGATGTCTGGGTATATAAGGTATTGATAGTATCTGGTATTATATATTAAGCGAAACAACTATCAGTTAATAACAATTAATTTACCAAACACTTCTTTACAATCAGCTAATGTTATTAACTAGTTATACCCTCTAATTAACTCAATCAGCTAACAGTTAACATTCATTTACCAAACGAGGCCATAAAAATCGAGATGTAGTGTTAATTGGTAGCGTGTTTTGGTATTGGCTTAGCAGGTTAAATTCAGCATCTTATCATCAAATTGTTATTCAACATTCTGTCACCAAAATGTAGTGTTGATTGATATATATATACAAATATAAAGAAATAAAATTGTGTTTTCACTGTTAGCTTAGTAAAATTTTTTGACATAAGTGTTTGATTATGACAATATCAAATACTATGAGCAAGGTAGAAAGGTAGGACAATTATATTTTATGATGTCACGAGCAACATAGTTCATTAGTTCCGAGGAGGTGAGTTGAATGATGAAAACATAGTACAGGTTTACATGGTAGTGCCTATGGGAATGATTTGAAGGGTAATAATTCAATTCCAGAAACAGGCCGGAAAATATTGAATGGCAATATGTTGGGAGTAAAAGTTTTTACTGTCAAAGTCCATACATTTCCCAATCTTTGTCGTACGACTTTTGGTCTTTTCCACAATCATTAGCGTACTTCAGCTTCCACTCTTGGATACTACGAATGACGCCAACCTGACAGACCATTTGGATTTTCACCGATCATTATTGAGCTTTCCATACTCTGAATATATAGCTAGCCGACAACTTTCTTAAAAATATATACTCCGTAATAAACAATGTTTCTGATTTTGTGGAATTATATTATATTATAAATTCCATGAATCCTTTCCAACCCTCACTCTCAATGTTTGTGGCACGAATCCGTCTCCTATCCTTTCCTTGCTTCATAAAAACAAGTTTTAAGTAAGGAGATCGACTGTTAGAGCTAAGACCCCACGTACTTTCTAATTCCTGGCCTCACGCTGACGCTCACGTACAGCTGTGAGTGTCCCAATGATCTAGAAAAATTAATTAATTTTTTTTAAAAATCATAGATAATTAAAAATTTACAAATGTGTCTAACCATTTAAAACCACTTTTTTTATAGGTGGACAGTAGTAATAGCAATAACTTGGTGATCATACATGAGAATTAATAAGTTTGGTGCATGGTAGACTGAAGTTAAAGTATGGACAGCGCAGCATTCCATTTATCATTTATGTGTGAAAACTCCAATTCCAAGCAGCCCACAGACCACAAACCAACAAATTGTCTGACCAATAATTAACGTACTTAACATCTAAACATCATTTGATGTGCTCCAATATATATGGGTGCCTGTCGTTTCTTGCAGATCAGGTAGAGAGAGTATAAGCAAACAACAACTTGCACATACATAGGATAATTTATAAACCATAATAATAGTCATATTAGCTAGCTTAATGAGCTAGCTTATATTAACAGCCTTAAAACTGGCAAAAATTATACAACCTGCGGTGAACTAATACTACCGGTGGAAGTACTTAGTACACAGTTTAATGTAACTTATTAGATCGGAAATAACAAGAATCGATCATTTGACCAGCACTAAGTGCTGCTGAGCTTCAATCCTAATGTCTTCCTTCATCTTCCTAATGAATTCTTCAAACTTCTTGTTCAACTCCTCCGGGCTTAACTTGTTTAACCTCTCTCTTTCTTCCGCCACTTCTTTCTCAGCTGCTTCAGTGAAAACCTCATTATTGTTGAGTTCCTCAAGCTCCTCATGATCATGATCATCTCCTTCCATGATAAAACTTCTGCAATCTTCTTCCATTAATGATGCCTTCAAGAACCCATCACTTTCCTCCTCTTCCTTGTCTCCCACGATCATTAAACTTCTCGAATCCTCATCTTCTCTTTCTTCTTCTTCTTCTTCAATAATCACGTGCTTTTCTTCTTCTTCTTCTTCTTCTTCTAGGACGTCAGAATAAGCATTTTGAAGAAGAAGAAGACGACTTTCCATGGCTGCTTCCTTGTGTAACAAGGAATCCAGCAGTTTTGCATGCGGGGGTGGAGAGTGAACGTCGTCGCCGTGGATGAGATCGTCGAAAACTGCGGGACCAGAACGTAGGACGAGGCGGCCGGATGTTTTAGCGAGGAGTACGAGGATTCCGTTGCAAACGAGGAACATGTAGTTCTTGTCGAGGGCGAGGCTGAGAACCTGGATCGGGAATGCAAGAAGGGGATGCGAGTTGCGCCATGACATGTAGGAAACGATGACGGAAAACAAAGAAACTGAAACTAACAGTTTGGTTGCTTTCTTCATGGGTTCGGAAAACATTAATTCACTCAAACTTTGTTTGTTTTGCTGCTCCATTTCTCCTTTCGCCACCGCCATTAATATATTAAAACCCCAATCTCTCTCTCTCTCTAGATGAAAGAGAAAGTACTGTGAGGACTGAGGAGAGATGTTTTGGGCGGTGGTCTGGTTGGAGTAATGGCCATAGAGTTGCTTGCTATATATAGGACTTGGAAGTATGTGTGGGCCAAACAAACAACAATGTGATTTTCACAAATTATACCATGGACCGGGATCTACTTTGCATTATAGAACTTAGTCTAAAAATAATTTTCAGATTCTGTATCCTATAGTTGACACATTATGTATTCGTCGTTGATAGTTTCCGTAGTTGTAGCTATCATATTATGTGTTACCAATTATAAAAAAAAATAACCTTCAAATTTTGTATCTGTAGTTGACACATTATGTACCTGCAATTGATAGTTTCTGTACTTGTAGCTATCATTTTATGTGTCAGCAATTATAAATTATTTGTTTATATATACAAAAAACGGTTAACTGGTAGTCTGGTATAGAATGTGTCAACTGAAGGTACATATTTTTGTATAATGGTTTATAATGTAATATGAACACTGGTTCATGGTATAATAATTGTGGGATTAATTGTATGGCCAAAAGTAATGGGCTCTATGTTTTAGCAAGAAAGGCCCAAACCATTGAAAGCTGGGCTTTAAAAGCTATTATACATGGACTCTTCTGGCCCAACGGAGAAATCATATAGAAGGGCATTTTCGTCCATCACAAAACCCGGCCCCACGAAAAGCCAAATTCTTCATTTTTTTTTACACAGTCAGTAAACCCCTCGCAGAACCCTTCTGCAAGTCGTCTCCGCCATTGCTCTATGTTTAAACCCTAACGATCGATCACGAAAATGCACGCAGTAGTTCGATCTCGTTCGGCTCGTGTTTTCTCTCTTCTTTCGAGGAACAGCCGCCGCTCCTCTTCGAGCTCCGCCACCAATCCCCCGGAGGATCCGATCATATCCTCTGCAAGAGTCGTCCACAACCAATCTCCGCCGTCGCATACCTCTCCACCCTCTTCTGTGCCTCCGGCAGCTGGAGCTGAGAGTAAACCATGGAATTTTCTCAAGTACGCCCTCGCCGCCGCCATCACGGGCGGTGCTGCCACAGCTGGATACGCCACCTACGGTTCGATTGAACTTATTGATTTTTCCCTTCCCTTTAGCTCATTCACTAAACATTTTTCCTTCTTTTTCTATGCTAAGTTTGAATTTTTATTCTGGTTGACGTCGGCATTGATGTTTCGAAATCGTAGAATAGCTAAGAAGCAGTGTCTTGATTTGCATTTGTCTTCTGAAATAAGGAACCGTTATGAAAATCAGACTATAACTTATTATCACAGTAAATATTGTGTCCTCCGAAATCCCGTCCATTTTCTTTCATGATGACTGAGGTATGCCCCCTTTCCAGCTTACTCTTTGGATGAAGTTGATCAAAAGACAAAGGCTTTACGTGCTGCAGCAAATTACACTGTTGGAGATGATGCACCTGCTTCTGAGGTGAGTGGTCTCTTTTACATGTAATTGGTTTATGAGAGTTTGAATACTAGGATCAGCTAAGTTTGGATTGACTTCACGGATTCTAAGTGCTAAATCCCAATCATGAGCTTTTGCAATAACTTTCTCTTTTTCTTAATGGTTTTATTCCAAAAGAGTTCTAGTCTACCTCCTCTTTTCTTGGCCATACTTCGTGTTTCAACTCCTTGCTATTGCGCGTATAGATCTATGCTCAGCATATATGAATCATATTGCAGTAATGTTTGGATATAGAATTTGAAGGAATTACTTTTTGCTTATTTCAGAAATTTCAATCTCGGTTGTACTCTTCTGTAATGACAGGTGAGCAGCTTTACCTGTACTATTGCTCATCAACTTTTTAATCCAAGAAGGGCCTTTATTTGTTATGTATTTTGATTATCTCTTTGCTATTTCAGTGCCTGCAAAGTTAGTTGAATTTTACCTAGACATGAGGCAGTTGACAGAAGAACATGTTCGAGTTAAGTAGCTATACATGATTTATATTCTAGTTAGTTTTTTTTTTTTTTTGGGTTCTGCCTCATTGTTTCTGTTTCTTCTCTTGCTCCTTTTTTTTTCCAGATAAATTGAAATATTATGTTTTATATTATAGGGTTATACAGAACCAACATCTGATAAACTCCTGCCAGATTTGCACCCCATGGAGCAGCATGTGTTTACCATTGTTCTTGATCTAAATGAGACACTGATATACTCTGATTGGAAGGTAATTCTACCCATGAAGTGATAAAACAACTTTGTCTCAGGCTCTACTTGCTGAATCTCTGTAGTTTATATTACAGCATAACTTATTATGGGCCTTTATGGCTGATGCTGGTTCGTATAAAATCTTGCTATACATCTTACTGGGACAATGTGTTGACCAGTGACTTTTTATTGCCTTCAGAGAACTAATACCATGCCTTTTACCTTTCTTTAAATTTAATTTTTTTCCCTGTGCCCTTTTCTCCTTTTTTCTTCTAGACAATGATACTCTGGTATTGAAGATAATTATGAATTACTGACTTGTCTCTCATTTTAAAGCGTGACAGGGGTTGGGCAACTCTGAAAAGACCTGGTGTTGATGCTTTTCTCGAACATTTAGCTCAATTTTATGAAATTGTTGTATACTCTGACCAGTTGAACATGGTATCTTTAATTACTCATCTTGATTATTTACTGTTTTGTAGTTGCACATTTTAAGATGTTCTCTTGGCATTTGCAGTATGTTGATCCTGTTATTGAAAGGTTGGATCAAAAGCACTGTATTCGGTATCGGCTCTCAAGAGGTGACACTAAATATGTCAATGGGAAGCATTATAGAGTAAGTTTTTGGGGTCCATTGGCTATATCTGCTATTTATTTCTGGAGTTCTTTATGCACCTTTTGGCATCATATTTTTGTCCCCTGCCCCTTAGTCATGTCAACTCTCTTCCTTTTTTCCCAAATAGTACATAAGTACATTTAGTGATTTGAAAGATAACCCTACCACAATAGCTACCTGAAGAAAATTGTACTCTGTTAAGAGAATTCAGACAGTATGCTAAACTGTGATATTGCTTTCTTTTGACACGAGGCCTTTTTGCTGCTATATGGTTTCATCATCTAGTAAATTTGATGTTGTTGCTGAGTTCTCTGTAAATGCACTTGCTGTATTTCCTCCATTACTCTCTGTAAATGCACTTACCATGTTTTCATATATATATATATATGAATGTTACAACCATTGGTTCAAGATAGTATTGTTAATTCTTTTCTAAATTACTCCTGCTGCCAGGACCTTTCGGCACTGAACAGGGATCCTGGAAGGGTTATTTATATTAGTGGTCATGCAGTTGAAAGTAGCCTCCAGGCAGAAAATTGTGTGGAAATAAAACCATGGAAAGGAGAAGTTGAAGATACAGCACTTTTGGATCTTATTCCATTTCTTGAATGTATGCACCTTATATAATACTTGTCATGTTTTCTCAATGGATTGTGTTACACTAAGGATTCGCTTACCTTCAAAACTGATTCTATACTACTCAATCTTTGGTCACCAGATGTTGCCAAACATAGGCCAGCTGATATCCGGGCCGTTTTAGCTTCATACCAAGGACGTGATATTGCCAAGGAGTTTGTCGAACGATCCAAAGAGCACCAGAGGTGATGCTTTGCTTCTTATTTACATTAATTCCCTCATACTTACATATATTGGATAGGAATGGAATTGTTTACTCTTTCTTTATTATGCTTAATTGGTCCAATTCCACAGGCGAATGCAGGAACAAAAGCAGCAACATGGCAGTTTCTGGCGTCGCTAGGCGAATGCAAATGGAAATTGTACGAGTGCAGTGTCTTCGTTGAAATAATGAGAACGTGTGAAGGCAGAGACGTATAATTTAAACCAATTTTGAGTCGAGAACTCCATCCCGGTCTAGAGAAATCAACTGGCCACTTAAGTCTTCATTCTTTTTTGCATTTGAATGGTTGAGTCCACCAATATAATTGCAATTTGTGTACTATAGGCTATAGCTAACTGATATTTGCTTGTATTTTTTTTTTTTTGTCTGGAAAAAAAATGCTATTTTACTTGGCCCAACATTGTAATGGAGCTGATCTACTTCAATTCTTGGATATTCGATTAATTTTCTAGTTATTTCTTTTTGGTGAACGAAAACCTACCGTTAAACTCAAAAATACTACAAAGAGTTAAATCAACTTAGGTTGTTTATACTTGACCGATTCAAACTAAAATAATTAATAGACTGTTTTTACTGAAAATCGAACTTGAAACTTTGTAATTCTTAATCAAGCCTTATAATCTACAGTTTTCCCTTCTTTATTTCTCAGTATCAGTAATACTGCACACGTCTTCCACCTTCGCAAAACCCAGTAATTATATTAATTGCATGAAACTGGCTTAATTGAATTGGTCTTTCATTTTATATATAGTGATAGTGATTACGTCAAAAATCGACCGGTCAATGACGTAAAACGCGTAGCACTGGCACACACGGATTTGCACATGCTGAGTTACGTCAACTTTTAAGCAAAAATTTCCACTTTGTTTAATGTTTGACTTTATATACAAATTCTTTTTTTCGAAAATTACTGAATCTATTACATTATAGTATCTGTTCATATACTTTCTCAACCTACTGAAACACACCAAAAATCAATAACGCCTCTACTGAGGCTTGAACTCATAATCTTCCAAATAGAAGTCCAACCCGGGTATCATTAGACCATATAGTCCTGGTTATATACAAATTTTTAAGTAAGCTAATTAGTTAATCTGCTTTCAATAATATTGGCTTATTGCTCGGTACTACATAGTAGAACATGCTAGCAGATTCTGTAATCTCGCCGCCGGTCTTCAAGCCTGAAAGCATGGAGTTTTGCCAGCATGACTATATATATATATATATATACACACACACATACATACTACAACTTCACCTTTCTCCCCACCATTCTGAATTCTGATCATCTTCGTTCTAGGGCTATTGTGCTATCGATCACATCACAGCTTCACAGGTCCGATCAACTCAAAGAGACATACATAACTTGATCTTCTGCCTGACTATACAATGGAGGTTAGGGTTTCTTGATCTTTATCTGAAAAACCCTAGCTTATCTAGAATCGATCTAAATCAAAGATCATGCTCACATATATATGTTTTAATTTGCAGCAAAAGATTGTGATCCAGCTTTATCCCAAGCGTCATAGGGCCCAAAAATGCCGATCCAAAGCCTTTACCATTGCTGCCCAGGCATACGGTACGTATTATATATATATATATATATATTGCTTTCACTTTCACTTTCACTTTCACTTTCACTTATTTATCCGCAGCCCAATTCTTTAACTATGATAAGAAAGATTGAGGTCTGTGTGTGTAGGTGTAAGCACGGTAGAAATCCAGCAGGATACAGTAACGGTGACAGGAGAGAACATAGATCCAACCGGGTTGACGTGCTTAATCAGAAAGAAGATCTGCAATGCAAGTTTAGAGCTTGTTGAGGATGTAGTGAATTGAAGAAATAATAATGTTAATTAAGGATTGAAGCTGCATGCATGCATGTGTCTCTGATATGATGTAAATCATTAATGTAATCTCTTTTTTTTTTTTTTTTTTGTTGTTGTTGTGAGTGATAAGAAAAATTCATAATCACTATTTTAAATTAATGGTCAGACTTTTGTGATTGTCTTTAATGTAGTCTTTTTTCTTTTATCAATTATAGTTATGCTGTAATAATACATACGGAGTATAAATACAGTTGAAAATGCATGGTTTTTCAGATCAGTATTGACGAAAAGTTCCAGTCCTGCATGCATTGCATCATATTCTTTTATTTTGCTCTAATTTCTATCTATTTAATTAAGTAAATATATATTGCATAGTGATAACGTCAAAAATCCACCTCTAAATGACGTCAAACGCGTAGCATAAACTAATTTCGAGCAATGTTTTGCATTTGTTTAGAGGTTGACTTTAGACGCTGGATAATTAAATAATAATTATCACAAATAAAAATAATACTAAAATACTTATGAATACCAGGCCGGCCAGGTCTTATATTAATACACAGATTTCGATGTAAATTAAGGTGGTAACTGGTATGGAGACATATACATACAGTAAAGTTAGCTATTGGGTTGTATTACAAGAATACCTAATCTTTCATTATTGTGCTAATAATCTTGTCGGCGATCAGCTGATTCGTTAATTTATTCTTCATGCAGGTATTCTACAAAGTACAAACCTAATTAAGCTGCTTCATCTGCATTCTTCAATTCTTTATATTAATTTATTGCATGCTCAGTATTAATATTTAATACTGTACATATATGTATATTTTGTATGCCACGTAATAGGGTGATTGACTTTTTAGTGCAGATTTGAAAAGCAAAAGACAAAAATAAATAGAAACAAAAAGGTGGATAAAAATATGTAAAGTACTAAACTGATTACCTTCTTTTTATTAGGATTTTCAAGAAGAAGGTAATCAAGTTACCTTCTTATACCAAAAAAAAAAAAAAAAAAACTGTCTTCTCTCTCCTCATTGAATGCGCAGGTGGGAGGAGAGAGAAATGCTTTTTTTTTTTTTTTTTTTTTTTTTTTTTTTGGAGATTTACGCACGGTGAGAGAAAGAAGAGAAAGAAGAGATAGTTCCAACTACCTCTTCTCTCTTTATTTAATTTTCCTCAAAATATTTTCTCTTTCTTCTAGCATAAATACGGGAGGTAGAAGATGAAAAATGCACATCTCCTTCTTTCACCATATCATTGCTTCTTCTTCGTAGCCAAATCAAAAACAACCGAAAATTGCAGTTAGCACCGTTGCTGGAATAATCGAGGTACTTACATACTCTACGTGACTTTGTTTTTCGCAAGTAATAATAATAATAATAATAATAATAATAATAATAATAATAAGGCAAAGTAATTCCCTTCTTTTGTGAGGCTTTGCCGGCTAAAGCAAGAAGAATAAAAGAAGCTATTGCCATTACCTTCTTTTCAAATAGGGTTTTGAAAAGAAGGTAATGACATTGGTACTTTACATATTTTAGTCTAGGGTTTTTAATTAACACATTTTTGTCCAAGTCATGTCAAAATTGCACATTCTTAGCTATGTCTCCCAAGTAGTACTTTACGCGGTGCAAAACGTACCGAGTAACTATATATTTATATTTAAAAAAAGTAGCAGAGAACATGCATGCAGGTTCTTGAACCCCAGCTAGCCTCCGCTCTTCAAGCCTCAAAACACGTAAACTTAAATATATATTTACTACAATTAACTTCTCCGATCCTTTATATCTACTGCATCTATCTGTTGCTCTTCACAGAATGCAATTCAAGCTAGCAGAGACAATACAACTGATCAAATTGAAGCTACACAACAATGGAGGTGATGAGTAGTGTTTCTGATAGATCTTTAATTTCTTTGCTAATTAAACTCTGATCTGATCTGGAAATCTACAAATCTCTCTCTCTCTCTCTCTCACACACACACACATATATATATGCTAGCATATATTCAATTCGATTCGATTTGATTTTTCGCCTTGCAGCTAAAGATCGTCATCCAGCTTTATCCCAGGTGCCAGAAATGCCGATCCAAAGCCCTTTCTATTGCTGCTGAGGCAAATGGTATTTAATTTGAATTATATCTGTATGTATATATAACCATGATTATTGATTTGACTCTGATCTTGATCTATCGAAGAGAGTTAATTGTTTGTGTTTTGGTGTGTATATATATGTAGGTGTGAGCAGAGTGGAAATTGAGCGGGATAAAGTGGTGGTGATCGGAGAGGACATAGATGCCGCCGGGTTGACCAGCTTAATCAGAAAGAAGATCGGCAATGCCAGTCTAGAGTTTGTTCAGGCTGCGTAAAGTTCAGAAGCGGCACATTAGTTGAATTGCATATATGCTTTACGTTGTTGTATTTTTCTTTTATTAATAATTATTACATTTGTAGTGTACTATATATTCAATTTTAGTATATTGCAAGTTATAGGTGTCATGATCAAACCCCAGTGGTGAAATATTGATTTTTTGAGCTGCAACAAATAATAGAGAAAGTATAAAAGAGATACTATCTTGTAATAGAATTAATAGTATTTAAAAGAAAAACTTATAATACACCAAATGAATCTATGATATATTAAAAATGAACATATATTATCACATGGACAGTTCAGTTGTTACTCGAGTGACAGATTGTACCCTAAGACAACGTAGGAGAGTCATGACAATCACAATGTAGAAACAACACTCAATGTGGTGAGCTCTTTGTGGACACCTAACACTGATCCTTCCACCTAAAAAACTATTGAATCAGCGCATAATTTACCACTCCATCATTCTACAAGTGTGAATGTGGACATCCTAAAGACAAGAACATACATCACTTTGTACACCCTAAAATTAAACATATTCATCTTATTATGTTAACTTGACCCACGGTATAAGCATTGAATCCGCACATGGTGATGTGAGCTGGTAGTTTAAGCAATGTTTTGTATTTGTTTAGGGGTTGACTTTATGTGCTAATGCTAATTTAATTACACCATTAGTATACCCAATTGTTATATCGTGCACAATGCAGTGTGCGTCCTAAAAAATTCTCTGTTTCGTATGTACAAAATTATATAGTAGAATACACATAAACTCTTAACATAATACACATAATCTAACATAATACACAATACACATAAAATCTTAACATAATACACATAAACACAAAAAAAATAAAACTATAACGGCTGGACGGACTAAACGGTGTCCGTCGCGTCAACTCAATCGTTATAATGTGCACCGGGACGCACATTGCTCAAAACGACGTCGTTTGGGTCAGGACGCACAATGTATTGTGCGCCCTAGTGCACGATATAATTTGCCTAGTACACCGTCTCAAAGCCGGCAAATTATTGTATGAACCATGGTCCACACAATGTTATGTGGACCATAACAAAAAGTACATTTTTAATATACTAAATGTACATTATTTTTGTACTAAATGTATTTTATACAATATAATGTACACTCAGAACAAAAATAATGTATATCCTCTGTATACAATATACATTATTTTTATACTGAATATACATTATTTTATAGTAGACAAAATATGGTCCAACCAATAATAATTGCTCAAAGCCGAAGTTATTTGGGCTACTTGATAAAAGGAACAAAGCCCAAATAGTAATGTAGTGGAGCCCAATAAACAGGCAATATGGGCTGACCAAAGGCCCAATCACCATCTGATCTGAACCCGTTTTCAGTACTTAAAGAGAAGATTGGGACGAAGACGAGGGTGTCACTGTTAAAAGAGCAAAGGAGGAAGAAGAAGAAGAAGAAGAAGAAGAAAACAAGGATGAATACCGACATTACAGCTTCTGCGAAGCCGGAATATCCAGTGATAGATCGGAATCCACCCTTCACAACGGTGGTTTCCAATTTCAGCGCCCTCGATTACTTCCGATTCACCACCATCACCGGCGTCTCCGTCACCGTCGGCTATCTCTCCGGTACTCTCATGCTTCCTATTCAATTTGTGGAATTCTTTGAATTTCTGTAATGTTAAGTTCTAATTTTCCCTATGTTTTCGGGTTATTAGGTATAAAGCCGGGTATAAGGGGCCCGTCAATGGTGACAGGAGGATTGATTGGGTTAATGGGAGGCTTCATGTACGCTTACCAGAACTCTGCCGGAAGGCTCATGGGATTTTTCCCCAACGAAGGAGAGGTAGCTAAGTACAAGAAATCGCTATCTATCTGAGCTATTTTCGATTTTTAGTATTCCAATCCAGGAACTTGGGCGTCTGTTTCAATATGAGTTTTGTGGACCAATCTGATAATTGCGAATAATCATATCGATATTAATGTTTGATGATGAATTCAATGAAACATTCTCTGAATTCGGTCTTGCAAGCTGCTTGACCTTCATTGTTTGTCTTGAAATATCATAATGTTTTGGTTTTTGCCAGCATGGTTGACCTTCATCTCTTTCTATTAATCCAGGCCAATTCAATTTTTCTCATATTTCTGGACTTGTTGATTAGCATTGAGCACTGAAATTAGCAGTATCCCAACTCTAGTGTAACATGATAGCTGGTTCTTTTTTCTTGAGACTCATTTCAGCAGTAGTTGTATATTTGTATGCTGGATTTCATGAACATGCCCATCTTGAATATTCTGTTTCATTTAAGAGTTTAAGTGGGTGTAAATGTAGGTTAAAGGGTTGTCTAGGTAGGTCCTGAAGTCGGGTGATTCCAAGTTTCCAACTTTTACAGTTCCATAGCGTGCAACTAGGTGGTGCTTCAACTGCCATCACACCAGAACTTGAATCTAGACAGTTTTCTTGATGCAGCCAGCGTAGCTGGCTGGTTAGTTAGTCCCATTCTAGTGCTGAATTTGATATTCTACATACTGGTGAATTCTAACACCTAGATTGTGATTCTGCTTCTTAGTTCTTACCTTCTTGATCATGTAAAGATAATGGTTTCTGGAAATTTTGTTTTTTGGATGGACACAAGGGCACCAGGGCTGGGGTTTAGGATGCTCATGTGAACCCTTGAATAGAATCTCTGTTAATTGTCCATAAGGAGTGCATTTAAAAAACTTTCTGACTTTCACAGTTAGTATACTTACACTTGCAATAGCTTTTAGTGACAATTCACTTCCTCTGTCAAGTTTCTGACCATAGTTTTGCAAGATATACCCATCTATCTGATGATCTTTTCTGTCAAAGTGAGCTCCCTGGTTCAGGTCATGACACTACATTGCAACAGTAGTAGCTGATGATCAATGCACATTAACTTCCTCCTGTAACCACTGTTGCAAAAATCGGCCTAGGCACTAGGCACCCCTAGGCCGTGGTGATTTTCCCCTAGGCGGCTGTCTAGTCAACCGGCTGCCTAGGCGCCTAACTCAGCCGACTAGGCCGAAATGGTGGCGAATTAGTCCAATAACTCGGCCTTGCTAATTGTTTTTCATTATATATATATAATTATATATATATAATATGACATACACCCCAAACACGTGTACTGTTTTTTTTAGTTAGCTGCCTAGGCGCCTGTTTAGGTGTTAGGCGTTATTCTATCGCCTGACTAGCGCCTCCGGCAACCATGCCCGTAACAATAACTAGGTTTATTTGAGTTGAAAGATTTGTTTATCTAGCAACTGATATTGAGAGTTGAACTTTTTTTTTTTTTTTTTTTTTTTTTTTTTTTTGCATACATCATCAAATATCTTCACTACCATAAAACTAATCCAGGCTTGTATGGAGAAATGTTTGATCCATGACATTTAACATGTTACTCACAAAAACCAAATAGGGTAGCTCAAGTGGCAAATGAGCTCTCTTTGTGGGGGAGAATTTCGGGATAACCCGGGTTCGATTCCCACAAGTGATGATTCCCTTTGGGCCAGCTTCTGTGCCTCCCGGAGCGAACCGTGTGTACCTGGACCATTAAACGGATAGAGAAAGACCCGGACCACATACACATAAAGTCATGCCTTTTAACAAAGTTACACACAAAAGTCAATCTTTGGAACTACAAAATGTTGGGTTGAACTATAACGGATTAACGGGGCATTTGGTTGAAAGAAGGGGATTAAGGGGAGGAGAAATTGTAATTTCATGAGAAAGGAATATGGTTGATTGGTTGAATAAAGGAAGAGGAATTTAAATTCTATTGTTTGGTAGGTAGGAAGAACAGAATTACGGAGAATTGAAATGGAAGAAGCCATATAAAAACTAAAATGCCATTGGATAATAATATAATAATAATAATAATGTTAACTATTGTGTAGCGTGATAACACATCTATTATCATTCTAAATGAGTAGTTAAAGAATTGAACGCTGGTAGGTTAAATTTGGAAAAACAATGTGTTTTTCTTTTTCATGGGTTGTGAAATTCTAATTCTTAGGGAAGGGGTTATGAATTTAAATTCTATGAAAGGAAAAATTATAATTTCACAAATTTGTAATTTTCTCGAAACAAATAAGGAAATTTTACCATCTAAAGAATAAGATAGAAAAGAAATTTTAATTCCTTTCAAAAAAAAAAAAAAAGAGGCCATAAACTCAAAAAGAGATCAAATAATAGAGCCAAGGAGTTGCAATGTTTATGAAGGAACCAAACATCATATCAAATCAAGAATTGAGAACTTCACTTTTATAGAGCGGCAATCACATCAAGGAATCTCTTAAAGCTCTCCACTACGAGCCTGTCAGATACTCCAATCCAACAAGCAACTTTTGGATACTTGGCAAAAAGATAAACTCGTATCACGTATAGTAATTAGTATTTATCGTTAATTAATGTCGGAGATTTTTTTTAAGAGTTAATACCCAAAATCGTCCTCGACTATAGTGATTTTTCTCAATTTCGTCCTAAACGACTTTGGTGACCTAATATCGTCCCAGACTTTTGTGTTTCGCTCAATTTAGTCCTCCATTTGTTATTCCGTCAAATTGGTGTTAAATAAAAGGACAATTCAGTAATGTCAATATTGATCTCTCTTTACTTTCAACTTGTGAAGTGCGAAATTCCTCTTTCTTGTACGAATTACACCCAGAATTACTCCCGGACCTGCAAATCAAATTTTATATTCGCAGTTTTAGGAGTAATTTTGGGAGTAATTCGTAAAAAAAAAAAGGATTTCGCAGTTCACATGTCTATGAGTAAAGAGATGCCAATATTAAAATTACTGAATTGTCTATTTATTTAACACCAAATGGACAGAATAACAAATGAAGGACTAAATTGAGCAAAAACACAAAAGTCTGGGACTAAATTGAGCGAAACACAAAAGTCTGGGACGATATTAGGTCACCAAAGTCATTTAGGACGAAATTGAGAAAAACCACTATAGTCGAGGATGATTTTGGGTATTAACTCTTTTTTTTAATATTCTTTTTAAGACTAATTGTCCTACAAGAGTGCAATTCACTCGACTGAGGATACAGCTGCAGTAAAATGGCAATGTTAATGGATTGGGATGTTTTGTAAAATCTCTTTGGATAAATAAGGAATATTAAGATTATATAATCTTTAAAATAATCAAGCAACCAAATTTATATGGGGGCTTTATTTGGCACATCTAACTGAAAAATTGGTTGAAAGCTTAAAAGTTAGTAACTAATATGCTAATTAATTAAAATTAATTGTTGAATTAGATGATAAATTTAAAGAGACATAAAAGGATAAACTAAGATATTAGGACTTTGATTAATGAAAGGTAGATGGTGTCTTTTTTTTGTAAATTATTAAAGATTTTTTAAAAAATGGGGAAAAAAAAAAGTTAAAAACGATGCTAGACGTTTGTTCACTGTGGACAAGGAGACAATGAGCCCCCTCATCCACACTGGTGAAATTATATTATTGTTTTTTTGTGATAAATTTCACCTATGCAACCCGTTGAGGTGCCCATGACATTCTCTTTCTTTTATTAGTATTTGGAAACAAATCTCAAATTGGGGAATGAAATAATTTATTTTATTGTAAGTGTGAATCTTAAATGTAACGACCTCTCACCGCTCTTGCCTTGGAGGGTGCCCTAAATGCCTATACACTAGTGTTCACAACAAATTAAAGCTAAATTCATACATTCATTTTTCTATCCTTGTAGGATTCGAATCCTACAACCGCAATTTATAGACTTATTTTGGTTTAGTTGACCAGTTAAGATGTGTCTTGGAGAACATTTATTTTATTATTTAAAGATTTAGGGTTACGGCAAAAATAAACCCCTTACGTATTACATGACGATTAAAAGATCATGTTGTTAGTTGAAAACATATATCACAAGATATATTCCACAAACAAGGTAATTAGGGGTGTTTGGTTCACGGAATTTTTGATTACCCTAAATAACCTCCAGGAAAGGAAGGTAATGTGAGATTTTGGGAATGTAAGATTACCTACATGTTTGGTTTGGATTGTGGAATAAAATATTACCTTGTTTGGTTAAGGGTTATATTTTAAGTTATACAGATCAATTTACAATAATGTCATCAATAACATATATACATACATACATACATACATACATACATATATATATATATATATATATATATATATATATATATAAATATATATATAATTTATGTATGTGTATTTATTTTATATTTATTGAAATGTATGAATGTATACCAGTGCTTAAAGAAAAAACTAAATATATAAATATACACACATATATATTTGATTGTATAAACATATATTTATTTCATCATCATTATTATTATTATTATTATTATTATTATTATTATTATTATTATTATTATTATTATTATTATTATTATTATATATACCGATTAATTAACAAGGACAAAATTGAAATAATTCAAGGTAATTTAAAATTACCTAAGAAAATAAAATTAATCACATTATCTTGAAACATTACCGTCACATAAAATAATATAACATTACCCGGTAATCTCATAACTTGAACCAAACAAAGTAATATAATATTTCTAGACTCAGATTACCTGAACCAAATGCCCCAATTACATATTAAGTTGGGAGTATATTGTTACCTGTTAGAGCAATTACATATTAAGTTGGGAGTATATTGTTACTTATTAGAGATGAAATATGAATAAATTTCCCCGATTACAAATCCTAATCTTATACGGATAAGGTTTAAACATTGAACCTTAAAATTTACAAATCCTATAACTATAGTTGAAATTCCGACTTTGACCTATTCCTCTCTGGCGGCCATTCTATAAATACAAACCCTCCGCCTCCAGGCTTTTATCGTACGTTGAGGAAAGCAAAAAACATACGGGATAGCTATACACCTTTTCTGCTGCCCTTTTCGCTGTTCTGTTCTCGTCAAGTTGAAGCCTCTCGTCTCAACCTTTCCTACTACATGGTAATTCATCCTTTTCTCTTTTACTTTTATTCGAATTCAAGAAATCTCTTCGACACAATTGTGCAGTCCCAAACTTTGGGAGGAATTCTTCACTTTATTGTTTGATTTTGCGCCCTTTTTTGCTGTTTTCGTTTTTGATCCGATCAAGAATTCTGCTATTGTATTGTATCACTCCTTATAATTCGCGAGATTGTTGGTTTTTTCTTCCGTGTGGAATCATGAATTCCCAGGCATTCGTTTTGTTAGTTGTTAAAATTTCTTTAGCTTATGAAAATTCGCAGTTGTTTTGTTAAATGGGTGCTTCGAATTGATTTCTTTTCACATAACAGTCAGAATCACGATTGTGTTTTGTTTGAAAGATTGAATCTTGACTGCAGGTGCCAAGCGTAACTGCCGACGAGTCGGATCGAGAGATGGAGGCTTTCATGGAGGTTGATCCGACGGGGCGGTATGGGCGGTACAGTGAGCTTTTAGGCTGCGGAGCTGTGAAAAAGGTGTACAGAGCATTTGATCAAGAAGAAGGGATTGAAGTGGCTTGGAACCAAGTAAAACTGCGCAATTTTGCAGATGATCAGCAGGCTCTTGACAGGCTTTATTCGGAGGTTCGGCTTCTGAAGACTCTGAAGCACAAGAGCATAATTGCATTGTATTCTGTGTGGACGGATCAAGAACGCAGCACGCTGAATTTCATCACGGAAGTCTGCACTTCAGGGAATCTGCGTGACTACAGAAAGAAACACAGGCATGTTTCTATCAAGGCGCTAAAGAAGTGGTCCAGGCAGATCCTTAAAGGTTTGGAGTATTTACATACTCACGAGCCCTGTGTCATCCACAGAGATCTCAACTGCAGCAACGTCTTCATTAATGGCAATGTTGGTCAGGTATATCATATATCCTCTCTCCATAGTTATGCTATTATCTTGTCTTGCTGCACTAAGCAACATTAGTAGTACATGGTAGATGAAAATGCAATAAGTCGGTTAGGTTGTTCACTTAGTAATCACAATGTTAAAAGTTAGGGAGTAGCCTATTGGCCTTCTCGATTTGAGCCAGTCAGCTACGCTGGTTTACCTACTTGTTGACCTTCTTGGTTTGAGCCAGTCAGCTAGGCTGGTTTACCTACTTGTGGGTCTTCTTGATTTGAGCCAATCAGCTAGGCTGGTTTACCTACTTGTGGGTCTTCTTGATTTGAGCCAGTCCGCTAGGCTGGTTTACCTACTTGTGGGTCTTCTTGATTTGAGCCAGTCAGCTAGGCTGGTTTACCTACTTGTGGGCCTTCTTGATTTGAGCCAGTCAGCTAGGCTGGTTTACCTACCATGTGGGCCTTCTTTTTTGAGCCAGTCAGCTAGTTTGGTTTACCTACTTGTAGGCCTTCTTGGTTTGAGCCAGTCAGCTAGTATGATTTACCTACTTGTGGGCCTTCTTGGTTTGAGCTAGTCAGCTAGGCTGATTTACCTACTTGTGGGCCTTCTTGGTTTGAGCTAGTCAGCTAGGTTGATTTACCTACTTGTGGGCCTTCTTGGTTTGAGCCAGTCAGCTAGGTTGATTTACCTACTTGCGGGCCTTCTTGGTTTGAGCCAGTCAGCTAGGCTGGTTTACCTACCATGTGGGCCTTCTTTTTTGAGCCAGTCAGCTAGGCTGGTTTACCTACTTGTGGTCGTTGCTTGCTAGGATAAGGCAAGATTTACCCTTACCGTACCCATACTATGGGTAGTGGTTGTGGGTTTCTCTTGTCATCCAAAAGAACTAATATGGTTAAAACCCCCCTCACCTTTCCATGTTTTTGTGTTTGGGGATATATAAAATCATCAGTAGTAGTTATTAACAAATAACATTACATCTTCTCAACCCCTTACCTAAATTGGCTGTTTTCTTAGTTATGTCATCTTTGGTTGGTGAACAATTAGGATAAAAGTAGATTTATGTCTGCAGCTTTTTTAGCATGAAGCATAGTAATTATGAGTTATGACTCTCTTGTTACAGTTAGGTGTCTCAGTGGAATATGTCATGCTAACACGGTTAAAAATTCCCCCTTTGTTAAATAGGTGAAGATTGGTGATCTGGGTTTCGCGACTATTGTTGGGAAGAACCACTCTGCTCATTCAGTGCTCGGGACCCCAGAGTTCATGGCACCAGAGCTATACGACGAGAACTATACCGAGTCAGTTGACATCTATTCGTTTGGCATGTGTGTGCTCGAAATGGTGACTGTGGAGCTCCCATACAGCGAATGCGAGAACGTGGTGAAGATATACAAGAAGGTGACTTCTGGCATCAGGCCTCAAGCCATGGACAAACTCAAAGACCCCGAGGTTAAGGCCTTTATCGAGAAATGCCTCGCCCATACCAGCACCAGACCCTCCGCTTCTGATCTTCTCCGCGACCCTTTCTTCTATGGAATCGCTAACGAAGATGATGATGATGATGACGAAAACATTACTCGAAATACATATCAGAGCTGACAATTGCTTGTTTTTTATGGTCAGCCAAGTCTGTACTTAGTTTCTCTTTAGAATTTTTGTCCCAATGCTGGGTTTTGGCAGTTTGGGTTTATTTTAGTGTTTTGGTTTGCAAAGCATAGAACTCAAAAGTTTCAATGAAATGTGTATAAAGAAAGGAAAGAAAAGTGAAAGTCAAAGAAAGTGATTATAGCTGTTCTGGCATCCCAAGAAACAAGATTGGATTGGCTCCTCTCTTTATGTAATGGCCAACTGTTTGTAACCACATTTGACATTGCTTTCAGGAACAGAATTTCATGTGCTGGAAGCAAACATTTGTTGTCTGTCCAACTGTTTCTTTGATTGGTTGTCGTTATGGAAAAGCAATTAAACAAAAGACAAAAATATGGTTACCAGAAACGCGTGTGTCGTAAGCTCTCCCATTTGCTTATTTCTCCATTATTATATCTCCTTATAGTATTACTTAATACAAATTATATATCCCTCACCGTCCCAGAATTGTGAATTTGTCATTTCAACTTGTCTATAAGGTCCCTTAATAGTTAATACTTCCTTTTTTTATTCTACCGGGTTTTAGCAAATCAAGTCTCCTTATGTTTACCTAATCTCAAAACGCTATTAACCAATTGAGTTGGAGTCAATACCTCAAAAGATCGATATTGGCTCGAATTAAGGTCAGAATGTCAATGGACAACTTTCACGGAGAATCAAAGAATATCATTTTAAATTCAACTGCAATTTCATTTAATAATATACATTCAATATATGAGACATGTCACTCAGTTTCATTTTAGATACACTATAATTACATTACAACACAACTAAAGTATCATTCTAATTCAACTACAGTTTTACTGTGATTTTATTTTATTATGAGCACATCATAAATACGAAAATAGTTAAATATAACTATTTTTGTTTCTTTATTTGAAAAAATAACGTTATTTTTAGACCATAGTCCGTACATATTATGGTCCACCGTATAACAATTGAAATGTATGAGGTCCAAGAAAAATAGCCTACCCAATAAGCTATTTGGGCCTAATGCCACCCCAAGTACAGTTCAGTATCTCAACGTGAATCACTAATCAATTTGTACAAGTATTTGTTACGCTATGACAGTGCAAAATGCAATACATTAATTTTGTATAAGGGTTATTTAAGCCTTTAAAACTTATTTCATTTCTATTTTTTTAAAGAATATAATTTATAAAGTCTATTTCTTTAGTGAATCAAACAATAAAATACAATTCATATTTTATTCATTCTAAATTCATTCCGTGAACTAAACGTGCAGTAAGTATGCAAATGATAGAAATGTAGGTTTGGTCCATATGGCGCAGGGAATGATAGGCACTCAATTGCCATAGAAAATGAAGGCGAATAAAAAGGATAGCTCAATCTTCCCTTATGAGTTATGTCCCACTAACATTAGCTTAACTAGTGAAAAAAACCTAAACAATATCATGCGACCTTCTCTATGGAACTCCTCATGTTGTCATACTAAGTTAAAAAGTTAATCTAATCCATTCAAGATTATTTAACCATAATTTAGTTTTAACCTAAATTTAAAATGTTGATCAACAATTCAACACCAACATAGTATGACTAGTTGTACATTTACCAGATAAATTTAAGATGTTGATTGATAACTCAGTATCGAGTTGGTTGATATCGAATGTACAATTATCCATTTTATGACTAATTGCATTTAGTACTTTACTTATATTATTTTTTCAATACCCGTTATAATTCAAGTAACGTACGCGGTGCAGGTCAGTATCCTATCGGATAAATTTAAGATGTTGATTGATAATTCAGTACTATGTTAGTTGATATCGAATGTACAATCACCCATTTTATGACTAGTTGCAATGAGTACTTTACTTATATTATATTTACAACAACCGTTATAATTCAAGTAACGTACGCGGTGTAGGTCAGCATCCTACTGGATAAATTTAAGATGATGATTGATAATTTTGTACCATGTTGGTTGATATCGAATGTACAATCACTCATTTTACGACTAATTGCATTTAGTACTTTACTTATATTATCTTTTCAACACCCATTATAATTCAAGTAACGTACGCGGTGCATGTCAACATCCTACCGGATAAATTTAAGATAATGATTGATAATTCAATACCATGTTAGTCGATATCGAATGTACAATCACCAATTTTACGACTAATTAAAACATTGAGTACTTTACCAGGACTATGTGGTCTAATGGTACCCGGGTTGGACTTCCATTTGGAAGATTATGAGTTCAAGCCTCAGTAGAGGTGTTATTGGTTCTTTGTGTTTCAGTAGGTTGAGAAAGTAAGTGGAGGCGTTATTGGTTCTTAATAGAGCCAGTAACTTTCAAAAAAAAAACATTGAGTACTTTACTTATATTATCTTTTCAACGCCCGTTATAATTCAAGTAACGTACGCAGTGAGGTCAGCATCCTATCGGATAAATTTAAGATGTTGGTTGATAATTCAGTACCATGTTGGTTGATATTGAATGTACAATCACCCATTTTACGACTAATTGCATTGAGTACTTTACTTATACTAGTATTTGTCACGTACAATGCACGAAAAATATGTTATAAAAATATACCCTATATGAGGTTTATTCATATATAAAAATTTTGTTATTTAATATTTAATAATTATGTCTGAATTGCTATGATAAAATTATGAACATAAATATATTTTCAATTAAAATAAGAATTGATATTTAAGGTAGATGATTACTACAAATCTTAAACTATATTAAAATTTTAGTACATAGTATTCAATATTACAAATTTTTAAGACCTTAGTAAACTACAATAGTAATTGAATTACAATTTTCAGAGTCACCACGGATCAAATTTTTTAGACCTTTGAGATTTCTAACTCTAGATGTAATAACATACAATTGACCTTTAAAGACCAAACAATTATTTATAAATGACTATTAATAATCATCACCATTTTCTAAACAATAATATAGAAGATCCAAAAAATTAAAGAATACAATAATAATAAGGATAGAGATAATAATTGTAACAATAATTGCTCACCAAAATAATAATTGTAACAATAATTGCACCAAACCAGATGACTATATTATAGTTAAGATTATCTTTTCAACGCCCATTATAATTCAATTAACGTACGCAGTGAGGTCAGCATCCTATCGGATAAATTTAAGATGTTGGTTGATAATTCAATACCATGTTGGTTGATATCGAATATACAATCGCCCATTTTACGACTAATTGCATTCAGTACTTTACTTATATTATCTTTTCAACGCCCGTTATAATTCAAGTAACGTACGCAGTGAGGTCAGCATCCTATCGGATAAATTTAAGATGTTGATTGATAATTCAGTACCATGTTGGTTGATATCGAATGTACAATTGCCCATTTTACGACTAGTTGCATTGAGTACTTTACTTATATTGTCTTTTCAATGCCCGTTATAATTCAAGTAACGTACGCAGTGAGGTCAGCATCCTATCGAATAAATTTAAGATGTTGATTGTTAATTCAGTACCATGTTGGTTGAATCGAATGTACAATCACCCTCATCGGATAAATGAGGATGCTGACCTCACTGCTACGTTACTTGTATTACCTTTACAACAACCGTTATAATTCAAGTAACGTATGCCGTGCAGGTCAACATCTTATAATTTAAAAATTTTATTAATAAAAATTTGTTAAATTTGAAACGTATACTATTACCGTCAATTTGGTTCGCTGCAAAATATTTGGAAAGAAATGAAATTAAAATTTCATGTAAAATTAAATTCCTGAAAAATAGACTATTACTAATATAAGTAGTATCTATTCACTCATTGAACTCATGACCCTCTATGTGAGAGAGTGACTTAAAATATATATATATTCCAAATCAAAGACTCCCTTAATGTAAGTTAAAGATGATAAACAAAAATAAAAGATTGATTAGTGAATATGTCAGATATTAAAAATAAAATAAAATAAAATAAAAAAAGACATCCTCATCCACTAATGATTCATCATCCATCTTAGGCTGCACTCGAGAATCACCTAAATACAGCAAACACGCACTTTAGCCAAAACCACACCACCTCGCAAGGCGCCAATCCTCTTTCTATGCTTTCCTGTCCTATACTCGTACATACATTTTTTATTTTTGTCCGCAGCTAAAAATTCCATTACTTTTGATTGTATTAAAATGGGTGTGGAATAACCAAGAATATGAAAGAAGAGAGAGGAGATGAGCGCACCCTCTGTTTTCTTCATGTATTTAAATGCATTTTGTTTAGATCTTAGTTTCATCTCATTTCCCATCTGGGTCTCTTTCAAAATGGTGAAAATTCTTGTAAAGTTTTAATCTTTTTGCTTTGCTTAGCTCATAAGCTTATTTTCTTTCTTCTTCTTCTTCTTCGTTTCTGTTTCAATCACTGTTCTTGGGCTCTGATCTACGTGAATTATGTATTTGCTATAGTCTTTGGATTGGGTTTTGATTGATGCAACGAGGACTCGATGTTCCTCTGTATCTGAACTGAGGTCTGCATGATTTTCTAGATAAGGTGTGAATTTCGCTCTTCATCATTGGATTTGTTATCTGCATTTGGATCTACATTTTACTCATTTCTGATGATGGGTCTCTCTCAGATTTCATGGATTTTATCTTCACGCAATTATCAATGATACATGTACCCAATTCGATTATCATTCACGCAAGCTTGCTAAACTGTTAAGATCTTAGTGTTGTTGTTTAACGATGCTTGTAGAAATGACGGAATCGGATCTTGGTAAGCTCTTTATCGGTGGGATATCTTGGGACACGGATGAGAAGAGCCTTAAAGATTATTTTAGCTCCTATGGAGACGTGGTGGAGGCTGTGATCATGAGAGATCGCAACACCGGCCGGGCTCGCGGTTTCGGTTTTGTAGTCTTTGCTGATCTTGCGGTTGCTGAGAGAGTAGTCAAGGAGAAACACATGATAGATGGCCGAACTGTAAGTATATATTTTCTGCTTCAAATTCCTATCTTTTTAACAAAGATTGTAATGGAAAAGATCAAAAGACTAGATTCAGTTTTTCTTTTTTTGAGTGCCGAGGAAAAACGGGTCACTGCCCGATGGTGTGCATTAGGTAAACCGTAATCCTTGCTTAATCTGCAAAGGGTCATAAGGAATTAAACCAGCATTTGCTTATAGCTGGCAAATGATCACAAAGAAATAAACCAGTCTTTGCCTATAACTGATCGACTCAAACTAAAATGGCTAATAGTCAGCTTTGATTTGAAACTCTATTTGTGTGCATGAAATTTGCATGTCTGAAAAAAATTGATGCTTTGCCCTTTCTGAAATGGATACTCAACTCTACCTGTGTATATTCTTCATTGGCTTATATTGTCCAGGTTGAAGCAAAGAAGGCTGTGCCCAAGGATGACTATAATATAATGAATAGGAACAATATCAACATTCAAGGATCTCCGGGCCCTGGGCGCACAAAAAAGATTTTTGTAGGAGGATTAGCATCTACCATCACAGAGAGTGAGTTCAAGAAATACTTTGATCAGTTTGGTACAATTACGGATGTTGTGGTAATGTATGACCACAATACACAGCGGCCGAGAGGTTTTGGATTTATAACTTATGATTCGGAGGATGCAGTGGATAGGTCGTTGTATAAAACCTTTCATGAACTGAGTGGTAAGATGGTTGAAGTGAAACGGGCAGTTCCAAAAGAGCGTTCTCCGGGGCCTAGACAGAGCCCTATGATGGGATATAACTATGGTCTTAATAGATCCCCCGAGAACTTCCTTAACAGCTATGCACAGGGGTATAATCTGAGTTCGGTTGGAGGCTATGGGTTTAGGATGGATAGGTTTAATCCTGTTCCCAGTGGTCGAACAGGATATTCTCAATTCGTTAATCCTGCAGCTTATGGAGTGAGTATGAATTTGGATTCAGTATTGACCCCGAGTTTTGCAGGTGGGTCCAATTTTAGTAATACCCTCGGTTATGGGCGGGTTCTGAGCCCGTACTTTGGTAGCAACTCAAGCAGATACACTACTCCCATTGGATATGGCACGAGCAGCAACCGTGGGGACTCGTTTTTAGCCTCTCCAACAAGGAATGTCTGGGGAAATGGCGGTCTTACTCTTAATACTTCTCCAAATGGTGTTAGCTCGAGTTCGTTTTTGGCCTCTGGTAGTGGTTTTGGAGTTTTTGGAAATAACGGTGCAAATTGGAGCTCTTCGGTTCCTGCTCCAGTTGGTAGGAACTCTTCCAATTATGCCGGTGGGAATGTTGGGTTCAGAGTTGGAGAAGCCAGTTACGTATTGGGATCTGAAGATTTCGGGAGAAATAATTCAGCAGGTATAGCCACATCATTCACCGTGCCCAACGGTCCTTATGAGGGGCCTTATGGGGATTTCTATAGCAGCGCTTCAATGTCGGGTGACCCCACTAGACACGCTGCATCTCCTGACATAGATGGCTCGGTTTCTTTTGGGTATGGGCTAGGAAATTCGGGAGATATCAGAGGTTATAATGTTGCAAATAGACAAGCAAATAGAGGTAATTCTTGTCTTTCAATAGCATAGTCCTTTCTATTTTGACGAGTTTCTTGCAGAAGTTACCCTCTTTCTCATTTGAATGTAAACTTTCCTCGACTTCATCCTAATACTGAATTCTTTTATAATGATCTTTATCAGGAATTGCAGCTTAGGCGAGCTCGTTAATTGGGTATATGGAGAATTTAGGCGAGGAGACTTCAGAAAAGCGGTGAGTTGTGAATGTTTTAAACGTATCTCAAATAATATAATCTTCACTTATGATATAGAGCTAACAGGGCCTCGTTTGAATGGATGAATAGGTAGGTGCTCAGAGAAAGCGATTTTCAGAGGATTTCGACTCTTTTAGATCTTAGTTAGGCTCCATTCTCGGCATCTGATTGAAATTGAACTGTAAAGTCGATTGCAAGATAGATTGATTGATGAATTTCCTGTTTTAGTTTATTTGTTGCCTATGTTTTAAGCAGCCAGTCAAGTAGAACTGGTACAAGACATTTAGTTTCATTCTTGTCCTTTTTTATGGCACTTTTGTTATTTTTCCTTTATAAAATCAGAACCTTATCCTGTTTGGTCTGAATGGACATTCATCAAGAACTGAAAGGGAAATAAGCATATATAGTGCAGAAAAACACAAAGGTCTTACAAGAAATTATTCAGTTTTGGTAACCTAAAACATGAAACATTAGCACTGGCATCATCAACTTCATCCTAGTTGTTAAAATTTCCTGGTTTGCTTGCTCTAAAAAAACTCGGGCAATGTTAAAGCTCAGAAGAACGCTCGGCTGCCATAGAACACTCGAGAGCCAGCGCTCTTGGGCGTTTCTGATTTCTGATCTGAGCTTGAATTCCCCGAGCTGCTTGGGGCGCTCTCGATGTCTAAGGGGAGCTTCATCTTCGCCAACGATTCAGTAAATTGCTGCATGCTTTTCATGTACATATCCACAATGTCCTGTTGCACCACATTCGTTTCTGGCACATTTATAGACACGAGAGGCTTAGGGAATTCGGTTTTAGGAAGGTTACCCGAGGCAAGACTTTCAGAATCTGCAGCATCTAAGCTGTTCTCCTTCTTTGAATCTGTAGTTTTCTCTTTGGGGAATTCTCGGGGCTCCTCTTCGTTTTGCATATCAGAAGACTGGGAATTTGCGGGATGTGAACCCAACACAGATCCATTAGTCGAAACACTGCTTGGAGGGGAATCAATAGGTTCAGTAAGAACACTCTCCTTGACCTGTGAACCAGATTGGTTTTCAGTGTCTGAAGAGCTCTGAGAGTCTAAATTTTCGCATTGAATGCCAAAATACTCAGAAACCATCAAGTGATTCTCATTCACTATCTTAGGATCTGGGAACTCGATTTTTTCAAACTCACTCGATAAAGACTCCACTGCTTCAGAGTCATGCACAACTTTATCGTCATCGCTTGCTGTCACAGCATTTGGCGGTGCAGGAACCACAAGAACTTCGGGTGAGGCTCCGGTGTAAGCCAGAGACAACTGGACAAACCCCGAGGGGGAATGGAATAGATCAGTTGACGAGAGAGTAAACTCCTTCTCCAACTTCCCATTCCCAACGAGGACTTCAGATAGCGGGACTAAAGCAAAGCCAAGCAACTGGTCCTCCAAGTAATTCCTCACCCGGCTCATCATCCAAATCTCGCATTTCAGAGAACACTCAATATTGGGCACATTCAGCCTGAGAGTCTGATTGAAAACCGGATTCTTCCCACCCCCGTTTATAGTCTGGGTGGAGACCGCATTCTCGGGATCACTTGTCAGGCAAATCTTGGCATAAACATCCTGCTTGTGGTATATGCAGATGTTAAGGATGTCCCTAGCCTGGTGAACATGAACATCTAAAACACCAATGTAGTTCATTGCAGCTTCTTCCTTGTTCTCCAGGAACACTCCATTATTGTTCTTTTTCTCAGGCTCTGCCAAAACCGAAGAACCCTCGAAAAGTGATTGAGGAGAATCCATGGCTATTCTGTGAACACACAACACACAAGAAGTTCAATACTGCTAAACAAAACTGCAGCTCCTCTGTATGATAAAGAAGCAGAAACTAAACATGATTCAAATGCTAATAATTGAACTGAACCCTTCAAGGATAAAACTCATAGAATGATAACCCAGTTTAAACATCTTACTAGTAAGCAAAATTTCTGCAAAACCAGCAACATTACTAGGCTCAATTACAGAACAAGAAACTAATAACTGCACAAAATTCAACCATGCATGAAGATAAACTAACCCAGAAAAGCAGTAAAACTTCGGAAACAACAAAACAGCAAAACCTAAGAAAGTAGTTAACACAGAACCAACAAAACAAAAGACATCAATCAGTAAGCACAATTCCCAGCTCCCAAACTCAAACACATGGATTGAAACCTTAAAAACAAAACAAAACCAAAAAAGAAACCAGATAAAGATACCCAATACTTAACAACCTTGAGTGGGTAAAAAGAACTACAAATTTTGCATCAAGAAACAACAACAAAAATGGATAAAGCTTCCATCTTTCCACTTTGTTTTATCAAGAACAGACAAAGATGAATCTGAAACTAGGATCTTTACTGAATTCCAACCAAAGCAAATTCAATTGAACATCACGAAATGAACAAAAGTGAGGCGAGTAGGTTCAGTTTCTTGCCTTAAGCTCCAAAGTCAAGTGGATTTCTCAAGAACCTTTTAGCTCCAGCAAAGGATCCGACACAGACCCGGTTTAAAGCTCGAGGAATGGCGTAGTGGGATTGGAGCAGTACGGATTACTATTTATCAGCATGTTGGGAGAATAAAAATCTTGTACATAATTGATCTTGAATTATTATGGATAAATAAATAAAGTAATTATTTAATACTGTGTCCGTTCAGTGTATGTAATCTACTGAAAATGAAGAAAAAACATGTACTTTGTTTGATTACTGTTGACACGTACACCGACCATGAGCCTGGCGTCTGGCAATGAGCAAAGAAGTCCACTTAAAGGGCCCCACCACTGCTTTTTTCACAAATGGGGCATAGACCAGCACGTGAAGGTGGGGGTGACCGCTCATGTACGTTGTAAAACTTTGGAGGCTTTTATAACGCACAACTCAATAATATAATCTTGAGTATTTTGTGTTTTTTTTTAAAAGTATTATTAGATTGATTCTGTTACAATATAATATTTCTCTGTATATACTTTTTTAACTTAAAGCAGAACTGGTCAATATAATGGGAGAATCACAGTTATGTCGCTTAACTATAATATCTTCAGCACATATATTTAGAATGTTCAAGGTCTTTCTCTGTCTGTCTTATGGTCCACAGTCCCGGTCATTCTTGGTCCACGGTCCCGACCATCCTCCGTCTGTCTTATGATCCACGGTCCCGGCCACTCAACGTTCATTCCGAGGAGTATGGGAGTTAGTCCAAAGAAAATTGTAACTTGTGAGAAGTGAACTCAAGTTATCTTTAGAATAGGGGTGTAAATGAGCCGAGCAGCTTGCGAGCGGCTCGTTTAGTAATCGAGCTCGAGCCGAGCCTAGATATTCTAGGCTCGTGGCTCGTCGAGCTGCTCGCGAGCCATATAATATATAATATATATATAATACATAATACATAATATAATAATAATATATATAAATAACAATTACAAATTAAAATTTTGAACCAAAATTCCTAAAAGATTTCTATTATTTATGTATGGATAAAACAAAGTAGTTTGAATTTTAAATCAAAAGTATTAAATATGTTAAATTTAATGTCAAAATCGAGCACGAACTCGAGCTCAAGATCGAACTCGAGTTCAAACTTGAACAATCGAGCTACTCGAGCCGAGCTCGAGCAGCCCGAAAATTACCGAGCTCGAGCTCGAGCAGCCCGAAAATTACCGAGCTCGAGCTCGAGCATCAGTTCTCAAGCTCGAGCTCGAACTCGAGCCGAGCCTCCATTAACGAGCTCAAACTCAAGCCTACCTAGGCTCGAACTCGGCTCGGCTCGTTTACACCCCTACTTTAGAATCATCCCGTTATTAAGTAATATTGATTGATATTGTTTCAATATTGACCAAGTTTCAAAAGTAATGTACCATTCTCTTTTCTCCTTTCCCGTTTGAAGTTTGTCCTTTTCCTTCCTCCAATTAACTCATTGAGCTTCCTGTATGTTCAATACAATTGGAGTATAAAGTAGTATTAATTACTCCTTAATTCACGGATAAAAGTTTAGCTTTCGTTGAATTTTAAATTGGGATTATGGATGGGTAACGTATCAAAGGATTAAAATTTATACTTTTTATAGATAAAAAGTGATTAAGTAGATGAAACATAATTTATATATCTAAAGGTCACAAATTTGATTATTGTTAAACTATTTGCATAAAATGGACAAATCATTTACAACACGTTTGGTTTACCTAATGGGATAGGAATTCTATTTCATAAGGAATGAAACATGTAAGTAATAGAACAGACTATTCTCTTATACGGAGTATAAAATATATATAATAATAATAATAATAATAATATGATGAAGGAATAGACTATAAGAATTGTATTTCCATGTTTGGTTGGTTAAAAAAATATATAAATGAAATAAGTTTTTAAAAGAGCATAAATACTCTTATACGGAGTATAAAATATATAATAATAATAATAATAATAATAATAATTATTATTATTATTATTATTATTATATGTGTGTGTGTGTGCGTGTGTGTCCGAAAGCATGGAGATAGCTAATATTAAAGCATCCCGTATGAATGGATATTCTCTTTGTAAAGGAAATATCTCATTACTATGAATGTTATTATATAAAAAAAAAAAATCAAAACAATGGAATATGTCTATTCTTAAATGTTATTTTATTTTTGACATATTTTATGAATCAAACATGCTCTGATAATTAATATAATAAATACTAAACGAGACAACATAAATATATTTTTGAAAGAAGAAGAATGCCGTGCTATTTTAGTTCTAATTAATTTTGACACTTTTTTCCTGAAATGTGGTGCATTATTCAAACTATAGGTCCCATTAAAATGCAAAATCTATAAAAAACAATGAATGTTGTGTCCTTAGATTGATACTTTTTCAGTTGTGAATGACTTTAATGGTCAACCATTCTTAACTATCTCTTTGAAATTTATTACATATCAACATTTTAGATGTGACTTTTGAGGACATGGTCTATCAGACCAAGATTTTTTTAAAGGAAAAATAAATAAATATATTTTTAAGAGATGAATTTCTTGTCATATCTCATGATTTTATTTAAAAAATAATAATACTAAAAATAAAATAACACTTATTATTTATGCATTAATCAAAGGATGTGATGTTAGCCGAAAGTAAAACATTGGAATTCATGTAATATTACTTTTCTTACTTTGATTGTAAAAAAATGGTATAATAGTAGTTACTTGCGATGTCGTTTCGCACGATTTTATTTTTATTTTTTCATGCAGCTCACTGTAATATAATTTTTTTTTTAGTGTAAACCACAATGTGGTCTGGATCTTTCTCTATCTGTTTAACGGTCCACTTGGTTCGCTCCAGGAGGCATCGGAGCTGGCTCAAAGGGAATCGTCACTTATGAGAATCAAACTCACATTATCCTGAAATTCTCCCCCACAAAGAGAGCTCATTTGCCACTTGAATTACCCTATTAGGTGTAGTATAAATTTTTATAACTCATAATATACATTATTATAACTTATAAAATTCAATAACGTCGTTTTGGACCGTGATCCACACACAATAATTTGCCAAGTTACTTGATGGATCATTTGAAGGTTGTAGTGGGCTGAAATCCGCTTAACTCATTGAATGGATCCAAGAAATGGGCCAACACAGAAACATCTTTGATGGGACAAAAATGTGGCCCATTATTCACGGCCCATAGGAAGGATGCTCTGGCCGGCTGGCCCCACTGCAATTTCCAATTCGAAATTTTTAAAAAGGGGAATCTACAACGGTCATCTTTCTCGAATCTACAACGTTCCTCATTTCCCGATCCAACATTTGAACCATCCTCTCAAATAACTCTGCTCTCACTAGCGCTCCTTCCATTTCTGTTCCTCTCAAATCTCTGTCTCTTCATTTCTTTCTTTCTTTCTCTTCATTTTTCTGCCTTCTCTTTCCCTCGAAAATAGTAGAAATGTCCGAGAATAGATTTCTGGGTAGCATTTCTAACTCGACGATACGAAGTCTCCTTCCCAAATCCATTTCATCCAAGAGCAGGATGAGTTTAACTCGTTCCAAATCCAGATTCAACGGTGAAAACATCGCCCCTATGGATCCCAACGTTCAGATAAGCGACCCACCGCTGTTTTCTTCTAATTCTATCCCCAAAAAGGCCCAGTCAAAACAGGCAACCCCCATAAAGGAACTCGCCAAATCAGAGGCCAAAGTGGAAGTATCCAAAGCTCCCGACCCATCAGTCAAGGTAATCATTTTCCAAATATATGTTGAATTTTTGAGATTTAGTGTTTTATATAGGTTAGTTGTAATGTTAGTTCTTTAAGCTTTTTTTTTTCATGGGTAAGTGTAGGTTGTGGTGAGGATCAGACCAGGAAATGGCCTAACAACTGGAGATCGGATGGTTAGAGGAGTTTCTAAGGACTCAGTGTCTGTTGGTGATAAAAAGTTCACTTTTGATTCGATTTTCGATTCAAATTCAACTCAGGTGTGGCGGTTGTTTCAAAAGTTCCAGTCTTTCTCAGATTCACTACTGTCTCTATGAATTAATTACTGTTTTTGGGCTCAAATCTGTTCTTGGTTGGATGTTTTTGTTGTTATCTGCTTAGTTTAATATGCTCAACTTGAGAAAATGGTAGAATTGGGGGATTGATTTTCACAACTTTTTCTGTGTAAATTAGGAGGATGTATTTCAATCAGTTGGGATCCCTTTGGTTAAGGATGCATTGGCAGGTTATAACACATCACTCTTGGCTTATGGACAGGTAGTTTATGATAAGCTGATTTTATCCTCATCTTTTTATGCCCTTGATTCTTAGGTCTTTCTATATATTAGTAGCAGTACTTACATTTGGTTAATTGTTACCAGACTGGGAGTGGAAAGACATACACATTGTGGGGACCTCCCAGTGCAATGGTTGAGACTCCATCAACCAATGGTCTTCAAGGCATTGTTCCACGTATTTTCGAGATGTTGTTTGATAACATTCAGAGAGTAAGTCTGCCATTTTGGCCCTTTCTTTTGTCATGTTAAAATGCAAATGAAATAGGGCCATTCCTGACTGTTTCTTTTCCTGTTTGACTATTTAGGAGCATGAGAATTCTGAAGATAAACAAATAAGTTACCAATGCCGTTGTTCATTCCTTGAGGTATACAATGGCCATATTGGGGATTTACTTGATCCTATGCAGAGGAATTTGAAGGTAAAAATTCTGCACCCTTTCACGCAAGCAAAAAGTTAATTTGGAAATTGTGTATGGTAATGAGAATGAAGTCTTTGGTTGTAATGCTTCAGATAAAGGATGACACGAAAAACGGATTTTATGTTGAGAATCTGACAGAGGAATATGTGAGCACATATGAAGATGTCACACAGGTTTTGATTAAGGTAAGGAAAAGCAATACATTTGACATTGTCTGTAATTTATAGTTCTTTAATTTATATTTTTACACTCCCACAAGTGATTCTAGTGTTACTTGATCCCATGTAATGTTGATTTTTCAGGGTCTTTCAAGTAGAAAGGTTGGGTCAACAGGAGTAAACTCGAAAAGTTCAAGGTCTCATGTTGTGTTCACATGCATCATTGAGTCCTGGTGCAAGGTATTTTCATGATCTTTTAGGTTACATTACAGGTGCCATTGACTTTCTTTATACACTTTAGGTGCCAAAATTATGATATTATTATGTCAAGATTACTTATTCATCTATATGAATGTATTAGGAGAACTCATCAAAGTGCTTTGGTAGTTCAAAGACAAGCAGAATTACCATTGTTGATCTTGCTGGATTTGAACGAAATATTCTTGAAGATGCTGGTAGACAATGTATAAAGGAAGGAAAATTCGTGAAGAAATCTACGTCACAACTGGGGTATGTCTAATACAAAGATAGCAGTTTTTTGATAACCTTGCTGCATTTATTGGCACAGCTTGTAATCGTTCTTCTTACTTCTTCTTTAGGCGTTTGGTTAATATCCTCTCTGAACAAAGCCAAAGAGTACTTGAAGTTGTTCCCTATAGCTGTTCCAGTTTAACACATTTATTGAGAGAATCGCTTGGAGGGAATGCCAAACTCTCTGTCATATGCACAATCTCCCAGACCGACAAGTATGGTGTATATACTTAGATTATTAAAGACTCTTAATTTTTTAGGAATGATTTTTCTTATGGTAAACTGGACTTTTTTAATGTAGGCATGCAAGTGACACTATAAGCACACTTAGATTTGGGAAGAAGGTGAAGCTCATGAAGAATGAACCAGTGATCAATGAAATCACTGAAGATGATGTTAATGGTCTGAGTGATCAGATTCGTTTGCTGAAGGTAATTTCATTTTCTTTTAGGAAAGACTAAATTTTTCTGGTTTTTCTGTTATATATCTAATTTTTTGTTGGTCACAGGAAGAACTTATCAGAGCAAAGTCCAGTGTGAACAATGTGTCTGGAATCAACAGTGGCTATTTCAAAGGGCACAATATGCGTGAGAGTTTGAATCAGTTGAGAGTGAGTCTTAACCGCTCGTTGATGTTACCCCGTATTGATAATGATTCTGAAGAGGAAGTTCACATAAATGAAGATGACATTAAAGAACTCCAAGTTCAGATTGATAGTTATTCACACGAGGAGAACTCGAAAGAAACAATCGAGAACAAAAACTGCAGCAAGTTCTGCTCAGCTGAAGGTTCTGTGACAGATGTAATGAGTGAAGAACATTACATCAGCTGTTCAGAAGAAGAAGGTGAAATTGAAGAACTTGACTCTGAAGTATTTCAGTCAGAGCTCCTTCATATCAATACAAACCTCCAGTGCACTGTTCTCCAAGATCCTGTGTTGTCTGAATCTCCAAAATTTGGAAATACTCAGAGGAAAAGCTTAGTTATATCATCAAGTCCCTCGTTGAACGAGACTGATAAGCAAGACAATTCCAGATGTTCTGCATTACCCGAGAAGGAAAACAATATTGTCCAGTCTTCCTTGAGGTCAAGCAGAATATTTCCTGGACCAACCGAGTCTTTGGCTGCTAGTCTTCATCGAGGTTTACAGATAATCGATCATCACCAGCAGAACTCTGCATCAATAATGAGATCTTCTATCGCCTCCTTCTCATTCGACCATTTTGCCATGAAATCTTCTGTTGACAAGGTAAAAACTATTCAAACATCATCAGAAGGGCAACAAACTTCTGAGACATGGATAGTACCAGTCGATGGAACTAATGGTCATAGAAAGGCAGATCAAGTGCCTAAAGTAAGTAAATAAATTAATCAAGTTTTTTTCTTTTTCTTCTTGTTTTGTGCATTTCAATTGATAGACTTTCTACTTTGCTTAGGAATATGAGAAAGATCTAACCGAAGCTCTGGAGAGAGAAAAGAATCTTGAAAGTGTTTGTAAAGAACAAGCAGAAAAGATCCAGCAGCTCAGCCAACTGGTAAATGCATTTGAGCTTCAACTATTCATAATATTCTAATGTTGTGTGATTCTCCAGTTTCCACATTACTAAATACTAATAAACCACCCTGATGACAGCTAGCACAGTGCAAATGTGAGACACAGAATAATGTTCTGATTGGTTGTGAGGACATGGATCGTAAAAAATGGCGAGAATCAATAAATTTCAAAGAAAAGGTTAGTTAGTACTGAATTTACTTTCTTTTGGTGCCATTTCATTTTACTTATTGTCCTGACCATATTTTCGAATTTGCAGCATCTTCTGGAATGGAATGGTAACCGAGATTGTGAACAAGAGATTGTTAAAGAAATCCAGGGAGAGGTCGATCACAACGATAGTGGCAAAACCTTTGATATGGCAGAGAGGGATGCCCTTCTTACAGAAATTGAAAATCTAAAGAGCAAACTGCAGCCAACGAACAAATCAACCGAAAGAGCAAGGTCCTCTTTGTTGTTGCAATCAATTCAACTGGGAAAGAGTGGTGCATATGCAAAAGGGGCAAACGAGGAAGAACTCGAGGCAGAAAGGCAGAGATGGACCGAGATGGAGAGTGAATGGATTTCTCTAACTGATGAACTGAGAATCGATCTTGAGTCCATCCGCCAACGAGCAGAGAAGGTGGAGATGGAGTTGAAACTCGAGAAGAACTGCACAGAGGAGTTGGATGATGCACTTCAAAGATCAGTCCTCGGGCATGCTAGAATGGTTGAGCACTATGCTGAACTGCAAGAGAAGTACAACGACTTAGCAGAAAAGCACCGGTTGATCATGCAAGGAATCCAAGACGTTAAAAAGGCAGCTGCAAAAGCAGGAGCAAAAGGCCATGGAGCTCGGTTTGCCAAGTCCCTTGCAGCCGAGCTGTCTGCTCTGAGAGTGGAAAGGGAGAAGGAGAGAGACCTTCTGAAAAAGGAGAACAAAAGCCTTAAAGCTCAACTTAGAGACACTGCAGAAGCAGTCCATGCTGCTGGAGAACTTCTTGTTAGATTGAGAGAATCAGAGGAAACAGCTTCTGTTACAGAGGCAAGAGATAGTAGATAGATTGCAGTAATTAGTAATTAGTTTCATTCTTTATGCCTATCACCAAAACCTTAACTCTAATATTTGATTATAACAGGAGAAGTTCACAGCAGCACGGGAAGAGAACGAGAAGCTGAGGAAACAAATGGAGAAACTGAAGAGAAAACATAAGATGGAGATGATCACCATGAAGCAGTATCTTGCTGAGAGCAGATTGCCAGAAGCCGCTTTACGGCCATTGTATAGGGAGGACTCTGACATTCCCCCCCAGAATGACACTACCACATCACACTCTCCTGTTTATGATGATGATCAAGCATGGAGGGCAGAATTTGGTGCCATATATCAAGATCACCATTATTGAATCAATCACCTCAAGTGTTTAGCCAACTAAACTCTAAGGATATTCTGCACAGTCCCTACTCGGGACTTGCAGAGATGATGCAGTCTATTTGGTTTTTCATGTTTCTATTACAAGACAGGAAATTGTGTCACTTCAACAGCTCTCTCATTCATTCTCATTTTTTTCATGTTATTTGATGATGCAAAGGGTGTATTTGAACCGCAACCAATATTATTTGTATGAAGATATATAATATTCATCTATTCAATTTTTTATATTTTTTGGCTTTTGAAAACAAAATACACTTTGTATTATCATTGTTGTTTTCAAATTTCAACCTTGTGACCAACTGAGCTGCTCATGCGAACCACTCTGTATTATCCTAGACTAGAAAAGTAAAAAGAAGCAAAAATGTTTTTTTTTTTTCTAAATCTTAATATCCCGTAACTAAAATAACTACAAAACATGTTTAGTGGAACTTTGTTCTTTCAAACTTAATGTAATCGTGTCAATTATTAAATAATCACATAATAATTAACATAAATTAAATATACTTATTCTAAGTCTGATCATATTCTTTACCCACAATGTAAAATCACATAATAATTAACATAAATTAAATATACTTATTCTAAGTCTGATCATATTTTTTACCCACAATGTATATTCACAACAATAAGTCAAGCATGTGGATTATGAAGATATTATTTTGTTCCTTTTTTTGTTTTCATAAGCTTTAGGTGAAAAAATTAGGGCAACTAAAAAAATGTAAATTTAACAAAATTATTGGTGTAGGTAGGAAACGGCGTCGTTTGTTCGAGGCATATCCTTATATTCCCATGTGTACATCTTTTCTCATCCGAATTTGGAACGTCTGCAGGGTAGATTCTGAGAAAAGCATTGGGACTAACCCAACCATAGGGTTTTAGCCCTTTGATTCACAGAAATGGCGATGACACCGGCGAATTCTCCCAATTCCGGCTCCGACTCCGATATCGACAACACTCCGACGCCGAGTTTGAACTCTAAAGCCGACCCGAATGCCAACGTCACTCCCGACTCGTTGAGTCCCACCAATCCCTCTAGCCCGCCCGTCGTCTGCCTGTACAGGTTCGCCGCAGACTCCTTCGGTGGGGCTTTTATGGGCTCCATTTTTGGATACGGTAACCCACCATCTTTTGTTCCCATCAACATTTTCTTTCAATGTCTTTTCCTTTCGTCAGTCCTCGTAACTTTTAGTCCATTTCCTCTGATTATGACATAAAAGCTATGATTTTCCCCTTTAATATTGGCGTGTTTCTTTCATTCGAAGTCATGAAATTAAGAATCTTCGAATCGAAATTCGTACAATTTTTGCTCTGGCAGCTCATTTTGTGTGGTTTTGAGGAAATGATGATATGCTCTTTTGGATATGTATCTTGACTTTTCAATTCATGTTGTTATAGTGCATACATATTTCGCATATAGGTTTTCCAATTTGAGATCTTGTGATTAGTATTGCCAAATTGCTGTTATTGGGTATTACATCTCTACAAGGGTGAGCATGTAAGTCTTGACTGATTCTGTTGGATTAAGACATGGTTGTTAACATTGCTGGAGAATTCGTATTTTTCGGTTATTTTCTCCAGTAATGCACTCTTTATACTGTTATATATATCTATGTATCTTGTTATTCTGGATTTCTGGTGGTATTTTACATTTACTTTAATCGACCTCTAAAATGTCAATATGCAGGGAGTTTCCTGATTTATCATAGCTTTCTTGAAGTTGTGAGGTTGTGACACAGTAGATATTTGTTGTAAATTTTGTTTTCCATTTGATGGTTCATCCAGCTAAAAGTTATTTGAGTGCAAAATGGGACGATCTTGGCTTTGATTATTTGGGTGCAGTGCTTTGCTTTTACTGTGTAATAGATGAATCATACAGAGTAAGTCTGTGTGCTTCTGTACAAGTGTCAGTTGTGTGATATGCTGAGTTACACTATAATGCTTCAGGTTCAGGATTGCTAAGGAAGAAGGGACTTAAAGGATCTTTTGCAGAGGCAGGATCATCTGCAAAGGTATATGGACTGCTAGTAACTATTTGTCTAAGAAAATATAATTAGCTGCTTGTGAATTAGTTGGCATTTAGCTGTAAATTGAGATCATTAAGATTTCTGGTTGCCTTTTTAGACATTTGCAGTATTATCGGGAGTTCACAGTGTGGTTGTTTGCTTTCTTAAGAGGCTGCGGGGAAAAGATGATGGTATGTCCCCACTCCCCACCAATTTGAAGAATCATTTTTCTCAATTCTCAAATGACATTTATCAATTTGTTTTCCTTTATATTTTTACAGTAATTAATGCTGGAGTAGCTGGATGTTGCACTGGTCTTGCTCTAAGTTTTCCAGGTACTTCGTTCTCCATTTTCACTCGTGAACTAGGATACAATGAGGGAAAACTAGTGGAGGTCTCTATAAGCTACTTACTTTCATGCATTTTCAACATTTCTCTCTGGAAAATTCGCAATTGGACATCTTGCATCATCTTTTCATTTTTCCCTCCTGTTCAATTTTTGTTTTTTGGTTTGCATTTCATATCTTTTGATGTTTCTCAGGTGCACCTCAGGCTCTACTACAGAGCTGCCTCACTTTTGGTGCATTTTCCTTCGTTATCGAAGGCCTTAACAAGCAGCAGCCTGCATTAGCACTGCCCGCTCCATTAGGTCTCAGAAGCAGCCAACACCCCGCCCTCCTTCCCCTATCATTCCCTCTACCAAACGAGCTTAAGGAGTCTTTCTCTTCCTTCTGCCACTCCCTTAAAAGACACGGGAAGAACAATAATGCCCGTCGCTAGTTTAGATTAATAGTTACTTCTTACGTTGAACGTTTATTTGGAATCTCGAGATAAACTTGTAAGGCTTTGTGTATCTTAAACTTCTTTGCTGCTTTAGTGATTGATGATGGAATTTTCACATTTTATTCCACAGTGGCATATGGTTTGTTTATTTCAACTTCATTGATTCAGCAGAATCTGTAGTGGGATATGTGACCAGATCCCATACAAGGAATCTGCAATGCATACCTTATTTGTAGAATTGTAGTCAAATAAGTTTTGAGTAATATTGTTTCAAGATAGAATTTCTTTATATACTTTTTAGGCTATCCTTATCCTTGCAATACTCTCACTTTCAAAAGTAGATCCACTTTTACATTACCAAATTTGTAAATTCTTGACTATTTTCTCTAATCCCTGCAATATTCTCACTCTTAAAAGTAGGTTCACTTGCATTTAATATTATAAATTATAAATATAATAATAAAGTAATAATAAATAATAAATAAGGAAGTAAAAGTCAATTGCAAACCTGCTACCATATAAGCCAACAAAATAAAACTAAAAAAAAAAAAATTCACATTACCTTTCAGGTCATCTTGAAAGGAATTCACTTGCTGGGATGATGATAACCTTATAAATTTATAAATTGTATATTTTACTGATAATCACATCTCGTTAAACTGAGACTAATCTAATTGAAGATTGGGCCAAGTTATTCCAAGATTGTATATATTTGGTAGGAGAAGTTCACACACGATTTTGATGTCAAAATTTAGTGAAAAATGAAAAATCATAAATGGGAAACAATATGTGTATGGCATAATTTATGGCAAGAGAATCCCTATTCCTTAGCACAATTTTACAATTATACACATTATATAGAAAAAATGGCATTGATACCAAATATTCTATACACGTATATATGTAGCTTGTTAATAAGATAAAAAATTAATTATAAATAAGTAAGTAAATCGCCATTAATGAGATGATATGAAAGTAAAATACTAGGAACTTTCATTCATTTCATGCAGCACGTATATATAGGTGCCAAATCAGCTTCATAAAGTTTTTTTTTTATTATTCTGTGAATTTTTATTTTTATAAATTCTGTCTTCTCAAAAGCATCATATCCTCCATTCATCCCCTTCTCACAGAAACAAAAAACACATCTTCATCGTCATCATGGGGTTTGTGAAAAGCATCAAAACAATATGGGCACATTATGTTCAACTTAGGAACTATTTTTCTCCCCCACCTCCTCCTAAACCCAACGAAGACAATCTTACATTCATGGTACTCAATCTGACACTCCTTTTTTGTATTTTTTTGTATTTTTAATGTAATAATCATAGTTTCTTTCTTGCAGACTTGTCTGTTGAAAGTGGACGTCACTTCTCCTGGGTGGCAGAAAGCCATCATCGCAGTCTTGAGAAGCAACAAGGGTATGCATATATATACATATACACACATTTCTTTTTCTTTTCTTTTTGGGTATTATATTATTATTATTATTAAAATTGTGGTGATGAAATATATATGTATATGTATATATATGGGCGCAGGGGTGAGAAGCTTCAAGATGAGTCAAAACGGGAAGATAATAGTGACGGGGACGGCGGATCTGAATCTGCTGTTCAAGATGCTGAAAAAGGCAGAATCTTCGACGGAGCTGATATGGGTTCAATCCGGGTTGTGTTCTAGCAACTTGTTCGTGAATGGGTTAGAACCCGATGGCGGCTATAGCGATAATGTCGGACCCTGCTTTTTCGGAGCCAACAACGTTGGACGTCATCGTCAAAGGATGTTTTTCCCAATTAGACCCTACAACCCCCCGCCGCCGCATCCTCCCTACTACGGACCTATGTCTTCCGCCGCCGTGCCGCCTCTCCATTACGGCTATTAAACTAAAGTCTAGCGTTTGATATACTCCGTATCATATCGTAACAGAGTACATAGATCAACTTTAATTTAGCATGGATTTTTACAACTATGCATGCATTTCTTGATGTATTCATAATATTGTTACTCACTACAATATTATTGTTAATGGATTTTTGTTTGGACATTTGTCCGCTTTAGTAAAATAGTTAGTCTATCAGTCAATTTTGATTTATTTGACCATTATTGGCTGTTTGACTTGATTAAAGAATTAATATGAGTGTTTTTGAGTAATTAGTCTTTTGTAATAATTTATTGCTTCAAAATACTAAAATTCAAAAAGATGTTCAAGTAGTATTTTATGAAAGTCATTTTGTATGTAATCAGCTAACAGTTAATTTACCAAACACTTTTCTACAATCAGATAATATTATAGAATTAGTCAAACTCACTAATCCAATCAACTATAACCTAACAACTATTTACCGAACACGTACCACTATAATTTTAAGACTCTTGTTTATGAGTTTTTCACTGCGGGAAATTATGGAATATTTGACTACCTGAAAGTGATCTTAAATCAAGTCGAAAGTCTTGTTCCGACCACTTTTGGTATCCGGAAAAACTTTTGTTGCTATTTCCAACCACTTTTTGCTTTCGACTTGATTTAAGATCACTTTCGAGTGGTCGGAAATTCCATAATTTCCAGCAGTGTTTCGTTTAAATATAAAGTTAAAAGTTTGATATTCTGAATGAATGATGTATATGTAATTACTTTCTCACATATAATATACCGAGTAATATATTATATATTATATTATTATTAAGTGGTTGGGGTGGAAATGAATTAAGTCAATAAGTAATCGATTTAGGCCCTGTTTGATAAAAAATTGGCCTATAGGCTAATTTTGACTTATTTGACCACTATTAATTGTTTGATTTAGTTAAAATATCAATATAAATGTTTGGTTAATTAGCTTTGTGTAACTCCAAAAAGACTAAAATTTAAAAAGCTACTCCAAGCAACTTCTTCAATTAGCTTTTTGAGAAAAGAAATTATACCAAATAGTTATCAGCTAACAACTAATTTACCGAACACTTTTCTACAAACAACTAATGTTATCAACTATTTATACTCTCTAATTAACATAATCAGCTAATAGCTAACAGCCATTTTACCAAACAAGGCCTAGTCAATTTGATTATGGATAGTGACTATGTTTCCTCGTAAATTAAAGGTCGGTTTACAACATAAATGAATTATATTAGAATGTAATATAATCTTTTATAAATTATAATGTAAATCTCTCTAATTTATTTACTTGTTAAGCAGATAAGATTTTATATATATGCGGCTTTTGAGAGAAAATAAAAATATATATGGAAAAAAATAAGTAAATATGAATAGCAGAGCAGATCAGAGTTTATATGCTTTAATTTTGAGAGAAAATGAAAATATATATGGAAAAAAAAATAAGTAAATATGAATAGCAGATCAGATTTTATATGCTTTAACTTTGAGAGACAATAAAAATATATATATGGAAAGATTAAGTAAATATATCGAAAATTAATTGTGGTAAAGATAATCCCGGCTGCCCTATTCCATAGAACCATTTTAGTGGAAATAATAGTAATTTTATGGTACACTATACATATACACTGTTGCAATAAAATACATATACAATTATTTTAATTGTATATGTAATTTGTCTCTGATCTCTCTCTCATCTCTATTTTTCTCCGAATATATTTTCATTTTCTTAAAGATACACATACTTTAATTAATTAATATAGGTAAATGTTCATATTCTTGGAAATCCAAAATTATTTTAGTATTATTATGATCTTGATAATGTGAATGGATATGACAATTACTTATCTTTATATCTTTAGTATTAATTATTAGAGGGAATACAATACTTTTATGATAAATTTTCTATAATGTCATAGTTCAAAAATGAAAATTTATCAATGAATTAATATCATTTTTCTTTCGTTTTTTTATGCTCTTTAAAAAAAAAAAAAAAAAAAAAAAAAAAAAAACTTGAGACTACTCCATAATCCATAATTATAATAATTACATGCAATGACCTGTTTCAAATCTGAGGTCATGGACGGTGGGAGCGGTATTGACTCTTTATACTTCAGTAGGTTGAGAAAATATATTGAATAGATATATTACATTGTAACAGAATCATTAGTCCTCAATTTTTTGTAATAATAATAATAATAATAATAATAATAGAATTTTGATTTGGGGTAAATTTTGATGTATTATTCGACGGGATTAAGATTGAGTGATTATCGAGCTTAATTGTCCTGCAGATATTCTTGTCCATTTATATATATGAGTGTGTATGGGTATGTATATATACAAGTACTCTTTAATCTGATCTTCAATATTACTTAATTGCTGAATTCATATATATCATCAATGGCTGCCAATCAAGCACTGTTCTGCGAAAACTACTCCTTCATGGTACGTATATTTATCCATATACATATATATATGATTTCCAATCTATTCCGTACTCTAAAGATCATATATATGGCATACAGACATGTGTGTTGTGGGTGGACACTTCCTCGTCCGGCTGGCAAAAGGATGTTGAGAATGTGTTAAAGAACATCCATGGAGTGACGTCGTTTAGGATGCACGGTGGTTTAGGAATGATCGAAGTTTCTGGAACCGTGAATCCGCAAAAGCTAATGAAGAAGCTAGGCAAGAAGCTGTCCATTGTTTGGTTCCAGTTCGGAGATTGTTCTTCCAACCTCTTCATGCCGCCGCCGGCCGCCGCCAACCCGTACGAATACGGCGCCGGAAATGGAAGCAGGTTTCTTCATTTTGACTCGCGAATATTAATGAACGACAACCCTTTCTTCTCAACCAATCATCGTACTCACCATTACGGCCGGCATTATTGTTCTGTCGTCGCCCGAGGATATAATGGCTGCAGAGTGGCGGACGACGGGGCTAAACCCCGAACCGCCGCATATGAGCCGTCTGCGCCGCCGCTACCTATTGACGGCGGTGGTGCTGGAATCAACGGCTGCTGTTTGATGTGAACAAGTTTAGGTGGATTTGGCGATTTTCAGGCGGGTTACGTTAAGGATTTTTGAAAAACGTACCGGCCGAATAAATGTAATTGTTGCATCGCATATTAGAGGTGCTTCACAAATGACAATTATTTAATAGTTGGTATATTAATGTTACATCATATATATATTATAAATAAAGATGCAATTTTACATGCTATACCATAACAACTCCATAACATTATTATTATACACCATTCGGACAAATAAAATCAATCAAATTAATATTACAAATTATATATATTGTTCAAAATGATGACTTAAATAAAATTAAAACCTAAACTTATAGATACAACATGACAGTTGTATTGATTCTTAACATAACCTATGGGATCTGACAAACTAGTATACAATCTTGTATGGTTGGATGGGGTTACGCAACAGCCACAAAATTGAATTTCCATGCTGAAAATTAAAAGAATTGAATTAAATATTATGATATATAAACCCTACCAAATGAAATGAAATGAAATTATTATTATTATTATTATTATTATTATTATTATTATTATTATTATTAATCTTGTTCAAGCGATGAGGGGATTCCCTGTAGTTCTTCGGAGGAGGTAAACGGAGTGGAAGGAGTTGATGGAAACAGATCTCCAGGCCCACTAGATTGTCCTGGAGAATCCAGTTGAGAAATTTCTTTGATGATCTCAACTTTGTCAGCCTCGAATATATCGTCCTCTGCTTTCCAAAACAATATAATATAATGTCCTCACCATTTTTCATTTATATATATATATATGCGACCAAACACACACAAAGTATGTAGTTGTCGTCAAGAGTACCTACCTTTGTCTGTCTTTAAGACCTCCAAGAGACGAAGGAGCTTGTTCTTGTTGTTCGCCAGAACACTCGCAATTTCAGAAGGTCTGTTCTTGTTAGCCACGAAAAGCTGCAACCAAAGAATATCATCACAGTATGTAATGTAATCTTCAAAAACCAATATATATTTCATGGCTAATTTCAAACTAACCTTGAACACGTGAAACGCATCTATCTGGATGGACTTGCTCGATTCCTGCAGCGCACCATAACAAAACTGCTAAGAATCTTTATTTCTCATCTTTACGTTATCAGAAACTGCTAACTGATTCTATCTTACCCTCAGAAGATTCATTAGAATCACCATGTTGTCCAACGAGCTCACATAGCGCACCATCACACTGCAATTTGAACGATCAAGCAGAATTTCTCCCAGAAGCTGACAATGTAATGCAACATTATTAAAAACAAAAACAAAAATCAGCAGATGCGTATATGGACATACATAGGCACAATCAATGTAATGGTCCTTAGCTTCATAGAGAAAACAAAAAATAATAATGTTCAAACATTGATCTCCTCTACCTTCACTGCTTGTCTTCTTGTAATATAATTTTGAGATTCCAACAGTTGTGAGTTGAATTCAGTGAAAAACTGGGTGAACAACACAAAAATGAAATATTACCTTCTCATATATGGTTATAAGCTTAAAAGGAATTAAATATATATATATATATATATATATATATATATATATATATATATATATATATAGCTGCATTATGAACATATATATAGTATACCCAATCATAATTTTCAGAAAGAAATTCAGCCACTGTAGATTTATGCCTTGTCAAAAGCTCCTGCATGTAACAATCACAAAAATATATAAATAAATAAAATCACGTCACGCTTTTAAAAAGAAGAAGCAATCGAAAGTGAAAAGCAAGCAGCCATCATAGTAACAAGAGCAAGAAAGACAACCTCAAAAGTGCTTGTGGCATCTGCAGCAACATCAAATTCAGGAAGTTGGACATAGCCAAAAAACCTCTTTAAATGCTCTGGCTTCAAAACATACCTGCAGAATATAGCATTACAAATCGGAAATGGATAATACAACAGTACTTGCACTCAGATTGAATCCAATCCAATCCAATGGTTCTAAATTAAAACTTCTTACCTTGCAACAACCTGGTGCCTAATACACTTCTTCAACATTGATCCATAGTGCAAAGCAAGACTCGAATCCTCATATCTAAAAGAACATTCGTTAAGAACCCAATCTGTGCTATGCAGAATATGTATAATCATTCATAAGCTAAGATTCAGAGGGAAAAAAAGCTCACCCAACAATCAAATGATCCAGAATGTCTAGGTTGTCTGCCAAGTAATCAGAAGCAATCAAGCATGAATTCACAGGCTGGCTCTGCAAATTCGCAACAACTTGAGCAGCATCCTTGCGGGCCTACAAGCAGATTATTGCATACAAGAACGAAGAAATATTACTGCAAATGTAACCAAGATTCTGGTGTTTACAGTATATATATAGGTCTGAAGAATTCTACTGTATATATATATATATATATATATATATATATATATATATATATATATATATTCTCAGATCACCTCCAAATTGAGCTTAGGAAGACAATTGATGATGAGGCGCAATGTGTCATGCTTAAAAAACTCCTGAGTGAGTTGGGCACAGGTTTCATCACCAGCAGGCACAGATTCAACATTCCCATATAGCATCGATTTCATATCATGCATTAGGGCATCGATTTCAGCCATCTGAACCAGGAAACACAGAATGAAAACAAAAAATTGGAGAACTTAAACATTTTAGATGCAATATATATATAATTGAAAAAGGAATCCGATCCATTCATAAATCAAATCAACCTAATATCGATCATAGCAACACCGTACCTTATCAAAATGTTTGGTACCATCCTGGTCGTCGAAGGAATGGAGAGCGGAGAGCAAGGAGATTGTTTGGGCGACGGTTTCGGCGGGATTCCGGGGGCGGCGAGGCTTGCTTTTGAAGAAGGCTCTGAAAGCAGCGTTCTGCACCAGCGCCTTATGTAGTATCTTCTTCATTATTGTGGTCGGACAACGTTTGAGCTGCTAGCTGCTGCTTCTCATTATTGTTCGATACACCTAAAGCATTATTATTGCCGGCGAATGGTGTCGACGGCGTCGGCATCTTCTGATAATTTTAATTATTCTCATACACTCAAAACCGGCGACGACCTTTGATAATTGATGTATATGATTCTCCGATCCTCACATGCGGGATCCGGCCGGCCGGAACAAAAGCTAGCTAGCTCGCAATTCAATTCAATGGGAATCTACCTTAATTAGAACAAATTATGCTCTCTCCATGTTTAATTTGTTAGGTTGTTTGATTGGAAAACTAAACATTAAAAGGAATGGTTTGTGGATAACATTGTGGAAGAATCCAAACCTCATTCTCAAGAGACACCTTCGCCTTCGGACTTCGGAGGTCTTCATTATTCTTCACATAATTAAATTACTACTACGACACCTGGGATCACAACCTCCCAGATACGATGCATGCTCCGTGCCGCTTCTCATGAGTTACGTTAGTTACGCTATGTCAAACATACAATATTATACATTACTACAAATTATATTATGGGAGTGTTTGGTAAATAGATGTTAGCCGATAGCGTTAGTTAATTGGTTAGTAGGTTTGACTGGTTGATTTTTTTTTTTTTGAAAATTTTCCATGCGGTATATTAATGAATAAACTGAATGATAGAGTCAGGAGGGACAGAGTCCCAATACATAGCTTGGTCCTGATCGAAAGCTAAAGAAGCTAAAGTATGAGCATGTAAATTTAAACTTCTCGAAATATAACTCAGCGAGCATCTCGTAAATAACGATATAGCAGTCCTACACTGGTCTACAATGATCCCAAGGTAGGAGTAGTTAGCCGAGTGGCTTGTACGCATCATATTTTGTAATTCCATGCAGTCCGTCAACATGTCCACCTCCATGATGTCCCCATTCTTAAGCCAAGAGAGCGCCTCCTTACAGGCCAGTGCTTCGGCCATAGTAGCCGAGAAAGCACCCGCGAGCCGTCCATTCATTGTCGCAACAAACGATCCATGTTGTGAGACGAGAACTACACCATAGGATGCTTCTCCCGTATCCGGCCTGAAACCCGCGTCTACGTAGCAGCGAGGTACACCGCCAGTGGCTTGACTGATCACGGCAGTAAGTGTCCGTGCCGGCAGGCCGGGCTGCGCACGTCGGTATGCCTGCATGGCCGCCACCGCTCGATTCCATGTGTCCGTCGGTCTTGGGAGGGCGTGGTCCCATACCGCCTTGTTGCGGGTACTCCAAATAGCATATAATATCGCCACTGCTAGGCCACACTGTTCCTCTGTCAAGACATTAAAAATTCCCATAAGCCATGTCGGCAATGAATTAGTATGTATATTGGTAACCGGCAACCCCGACATACCCCACACTAATTTTGAATAGTCACACTCGAGTAACGCATGCATGATGTTCTCATGCGCCCCTTGGCACATTGGGCACAGCAGATCAATCTCAACTCGTCGCATTATTAGATTGTCCGTAGTAGGGAGGATACCACAGACTGCTCTCCACAAAAAGGTCTTCCATTTGGGTGGCACTTTCAATTTCTACATAGTAACCCATTTATCAAACTCACCTGGGTTATGCACATAATCCCCCTTAATCTGCCTATAGGCATTTTTAACTGAATATATTCCATTCATCTCCCCCTTCCAATCCATTCATCTCCCCCTTCCAATACCAAGTGTCTTCATATTCGGGGCTAACATGGATCATTAAAATACGTGTGACATCCTCAGGAATAAATAAATCAGTCAGAATATGTGGATCCCATGTATTAGTTTGTTGGTCAATCAATCCTGCTACATGGGCATGTCGCAACTCCTGGGGCATTATTGTTTGGACCAACGGACTGGGATTATCTGGTAGCCAGGGATGCCCCCATATTAATGTTTTTTGTCCATTCCCTACACGCCTCCTTACCCCTGAACAAACCATTCCGTGCGCAGCCATTATACTTCTCCAGCAAAAACTTGGGCAATTTCCTATGGTAGCATCAACAAAAGATGTATTCGGGTAATACCTGGCTTTATATATTCTTGCCACCAAAGTGCCGGGATTTGTGAGAAAACGCCATGCCTGTTTTCCCAGCATTGCCAAATTAAAAGCTCGTAGGTCTTTAAATCCCAGACCCCCATACTTCTTAGGGATGCATAATTTATCCCAAGCCTTCCAATGTATTTTCCTCTCCGTTCCAGATCCCCACCAATACCTGTTCATGGTCCTCTCTATTGATGTGCAAACTGTCTCAGGTAACAAAAAAACACTCATTGAAAAGGTTGGCATAGATTGTGCGACACTTTTCAAAAGTACTTCCTTACCAGCCTGAGAAAGCAACTTTTTACTCCAGGAACCAATTCTCTGCCTGATTTTATCCTCCAAATAGGAAAAAACAGCTCTCTTATTTCTGCCTACAAAAGATGGGAGTCCCAAATATTTCCCAAAATTAGCCGCCTGACTTACCCCTAAAACTGCCGCCACCTCCCCCCTTATTTCCTCCTGGGTGTTTCTACTGAAACAAATATTTGACTTGTCATAATTCACTTTTTGGCCAGACAACCTCTCATATTGGTGTAAGCATTGTTTAATTACACCAGCTTCCTCTATATTAGCTTTGAAAAAAAGCAGGCTATCATCTGCAAAAAATAGATGGGACACCGCCGGTGCCCCTCTTGCCACCCTACAGCCATGGATTACCCCATCCAACTGCGCTTTCTGTAACAACATGGAGAGCCCCTCTGCACAAATAATAAACAAGTAGGGAGATAGAGGGTCCCCCTGCCTGAGACCTCGTGTAGGCACTATCTGTCCACCTGCCACCCCGTTTACCATAATCGTATACCTCACAGTTGTGACACAATGCATTATAAGGGTAACCCACCGCTGATCGAAACCCATAGCGCACATCATTCTCTGCAGAAAAGATCACTCCATCCTGTCATAAGCATTTGACATGTCAAGCTTTAAAGCACTCCATCCTACCTGCCCACATTGCTTTCTATTTAAATAAAGCCCCACTTCTGCTGCAACAAGAATATTATCTGTGATCAGGCGGCCCGGGATAAACTCACTTTGAGACTCCGAGATCAAGTTTCCCATAAGTGGCTTCATCCTATTCGTTATCATCTTCGCCATTACCCTATAAATAACATTGCTGAGAGCAATCGGTCTCATATCAGCCACCCTCTCCGGCATCGCCTTCTTTGGGATTAAAACAATGTTTGGATTAAAACAATGTTTGTATCATTTATACCATCCGGAAGATTGCCTGTATTCAAACATGATATTATAAAATCAGACACATTCCCCCCTACTACATCCCAGAAGTGCTGGTAGAAGCCTGGATTCATTCCATCCGGGCCAGGCGCTTTGTCAGGATACATAGAATATACTGCCTCTTTCACATCCTCCGGTACAAACGGGCGCAACAAAGATTCATTCTGAGCATGCGTTACTCGCGGGACCAAATTATCAATCATAGCATCATCAAAAACAGTACTCTCAGTTGTAAAAATTTGTTGAAAATATTCAAGGATAACAGAGCACATATCATTCCCCTCGACCCACACACCATCATTATTCATAATTCTATTCACAGTATTCTTTTTCTTACGAGCAGAAGCATACCTGTGATAGAATCTCGTATTCGCATCTGCATTGCGAAGCCAGTGCTGCTTGGCCCGCTGTCTCCAGAACACATCCTCCTGCGCCTCCAGCTGGGTTAAGAGAACATCAACTCCAGCTGGGTTAAGAGAACATCAACTTGGTGAAACTCAGCCAATGCGGTCGGGTCTCTCCTGTTCCTGAGCAGTTCCAGTCTCTTTTTCAACTGCCCAATACGCTCTCCAAACTTATGAAATTTCTCTCCACCCCACCTCATCAACCTCTCCCCACACCGCTGCTGACAATTCAGCAACCCCTCAACCCTCCCTCCCTGCCACGCCGTAGTCACCACCTCTCTACACCCCTCATCCTGGAGCCATGCCATCTCAAATCTAAATCGTCTTGCAAATCTCCCCCCTCGGATGCGTGGCGCATCTATACTAAGGAAAAGTGCTGAGTGATCTGAAGGTCGGGCTATGATGTTTTCCACATCCACATGATTATTTAGTCCACACCAGTCCGTTGTGGCTAAAACTTTGTCCAGTCTCTCCTCAATCCAATTTTCCGTCCCTCTACTCTTCTCCCAGGTAAACTGATGGTCTCGCATAGGCAACTGTATCAAGCCACAAACATCCAGGGCCTCCCCAAAGCCTCGTAAGAGGTGATTTGGGTAAGGATTCCCTCCTCTCTTCTCATACTGAAACAGAAGATTATTAAAATCCCCTATGAGTACCCAGGGTAAAACAGATTTAGGTTTCAATCTCTCCAGCAAACTCCAGGACTCCGACCTCCTACTACGATCCGATTGCCCATAGAAACAAGTCATCCGCCACTGATTCCCGTTCTGAGCCCTTACCTCCACATCCACAAAATGTTTAGAATATCCCAACAACGATGCTGAGTTATTCTTCCTCCAAAGTAATGCCATACCACCACTCCTCCCGTCATTGTCTACATAGAACAAACCCTCATAACCGATCGTGACACGGAGCCTTTTTGCATGTATCCGTGCCACCATAGTCTCCATCAAAAATACAAATTCAGGCTTCTTCCGGGACACAATGTCCACTATCTGTCGAACTGTTCGTGTATTGCCCAAACCACGACAGTTCCAGCTCAGCGTACTCATGAGGACGGGCGGGGCTGAGATACAGCTCCCGCCATACACAAGTTTTTTGAAACATCGTTCATTGTCACATCCTCACCCTCCCTCCCCTCACACCCCTGCTGTCCCTCCCTGCGGCGTTTCCCGGTTGCCACCACCTCCCCTCCATCCGATACCCCAATTCCCGAAACCCCCTCCTCACCCTCACCTTCCGCCAACGTTCCCCGAACACCCTCCCCACCCGCCGGCCGATTCTCCGGCATCAGTAACGGTCTCCCCCCTACTGGAATAAGCCAGCTCCCACCCACCCCTCTCGCAGCACCCCTTCCACCCCCCGCCCTCAACTCCACTCCATACCGAAACTCACTCTCGGGAACCCGACTTTCCCTTGCTTTCAAACAAAAGGTGTGAACATGCCCCATTAGCCCACAGAAGAAACAGAACTTGTGAAGTCGTTCATACTTAAAGGACACCCAACACGTAGTCCTATCCCTCTTAACCAGCTTCATACCCCTCCTCAATGGCTTGCCAACCGCAATTGAGACCCGAATGCGATAAAAAGTTAACCAGGGAGCCCCAACAAACCTATCATCATGTTTCACGAAAGTACCAATGAACTTACCTGCCTGCTCAAGAACACTTTGCGATGTGTAGCCCATTGGTAATCCATGCAGCTGAACCCACATGTCTACCGTATCCAGAGGGACATCACACGGATTCATCCCCCCCTGAACCTCACGGCAAACCAGCGTATTGTTTTCAAAAGCCCATGGTCCCCCTTCCAAGACATACGCAACATCCGTGTCGTGAAAGAACACAAACAAAAATAGCCCCGGTTGGACTTCCGTTATCTGAACCCCTCTTACCGGTTGCCACACAGAAGCCATTACATTCCTCATATACTTAAGCTTGACAACTTTCGCCGTCAAGAAACGGCCTACAACCGCCCATGACGCCTCACCATCTACCGCAACCTCGCCCACCCCGTCACCCTCCGGGACGAACTCGTCCCCGTCCTCCTCTAACGCCATATCAGCCCATCTTTCCGTGAGTCTCTCCACCATCCCAGCCGACTGCCCTGCTGCTACCTGCTCGTCATTCCGTTCGTCCATCGATGTTGAAACGCCGGCGATCGCCGGGAGAGATGAGCCGAACTGCTTCGAAAAACCCTAGAAACCCTAGAGATTGAGAGAAAACCCTAGGAACCCTAGAGAGAGATTCTATTGGTTTGACTGGTTGATAATATTAGCTTATTGTATAAAGATATTTGGTAAATTAGATGTTAGCTAATCGTTGATTAGGTACAAATAACTTTCTAAACAAGCAGATAAAAAAAGTTAGGTCAAAGTACTTATGAAGTCCCTGTACTATAATGTTTTGTTCAATTTAGTCCTTGTACATTTATTCTGTTCAATTTAGTCCATCTACTTTAAAAAGTGGTAAACTAAGGATAATTGTCCACATCTCATTAGAAACATAGTTGTAATTATTTATTTTAGACATACTAATTTAATATATTAGTGGTAAAAATGATTAATTTTAAATATTTATAAAGTAATATATGAATAGGAATATAAATATCGTCAACGCCACGTAACTTAAGTTAACGTTAATATTAACACCGTTAACTATTGTCCTTAATTGCACCACTTTTAAAAGTACAAGGACTAAATTGAACAAAATAAAAGTATAAGGACTAAATTGAACAAATCGCTATAATACAGGGACCGCGTAAGTACTTTGACCAAAAAGTTATTTTTGGCTGTTTTACGAATTTTAATATTTTAAAACAATAAGCTATTACAACAAACTAACTAATTAAACACAATGACTAGGGGTGACAATTTGCCCCGACAGGGATGGGGATTGGGAGGATTTTCGGGGAATAGGGACGGAGAATCTAGGTAATTTTCCGTCAGGGACGGAGATACCCTTCTCCGCCCCACCCCGTCCCAGAATAATTATAAATAATATATATATATATATATATATATATATATATATATATATATATATATACATTAATTTTTTAAATTAAGACTTAAGTTTTTAAGATTTTGACTAAGAATTGATCGGGGACGGGGAATTCCCGTCCCCGCCTAATTCTTCGCAGAGACGGGGATGGATACTATTTCAATTTCCCGTTAGGGATGGGGACCACCTCGCCCCGTTGTCATTCTTAACATTGACTGTTTAACCAAGTCAAACAACTTATAGATTTAGTATTTTTTGTAATATTCTCTTTTATCATATTTTAACTATCCTGTTAATTTAAATTTATTTTTTTTATGTCAAGTCTGGTTAACCGAATCTCACACATAAAATGAGACGATTAGAGTAGTTAACAATTGGTAGCCTTGAATGGCGTGCACAGACTTCTCCGTAAAACAAATTAAATTATTAAAACAAAAAACACTAAAGGCAATAAAGAAGAAAGAAATATTTCAACTTTATCACTCAAAAATGTAATCACCAAGAAATACAGAACTACAGAAGGCAGAAGGAGCGTATGAAGCCTTCCAATGACTCTACGAAATGATACAAGTGGTCAGATTCCTTGTAAAATGTACAGAGATGAGTTTATCATGCTGATTTGCCCCTAAAGTGGAGAAAATTGTTACACAAGCTAAGAGTTAACCAGCCTCCTCCTACTGGTTTCATATGTTCACTGGTTAGTCTTGATTTCACTGTCTGACTGTCATCAAGTGAATGATCTCCAGCGAGCTCATCATTCAATTCTAATCAGGAAATCACACGCTTGAAAAAACGAACTCGGTGGTGATGTCAGCAATGGCTTGAACAATGAAGCATTGTGAAATTCAGCATCCCAGGCTTTTTAAAATGCTGCTGAGCTTGTCAATCACCACAGGAGGATTGGCACGCGAACCATCCAAATTTATGGCATGGTACTCCAGACCCTTCCACTGGGCAATTAGAGCAAAATGGGGGCGCCTATACTCGCTGCTAATGATCTCTAGGATTACTGTTTTAGGCATTGCAGATATGATGTGAGTCATACCTGCACCATGGGCCCCGACAATGACAGAAGCATCTTGTATTGCTCGGACCTGCTCCTTCATGGACATGTGAGCAAATAATCCGTTGATTATGTTCAGCTTGCAGTCAGAATGATCTGAGGCCCAGTTCTTGATTGACTCAAACACCTCTTGTTCATTGCTAAGCCTTGACTGTACTTTCCCACCATGACGAGGATGGGCAAAGTAATCTTCACGTCGAACAAAGAGAACATTGTGACCCGAAACTGGCTTTGTGTTGCTGAGTCTATCCACTGGAAACCCAAAGGCTGCTTTTATCATCTCCCCGAATTCATGCAACCGTGCAGTTTTATGGTCATCAGGATTTTGCCACAAATCATGTGCTGCAGCTCCTTGACAGCGTATGTTTTCTGACAGTCCCTTAAAGAGGGCTGTTTCATACCCCAAAGGTGAAAGGATAGCGCGCCGGAAACAAACAGGACCACTAAAGTTTTTGGCATATCTCAGGCTTGAAAACAGTGCTTTCCATGTTTCTTCCAATTGGGTCTGAAAATTTTATTGCAAATGGAGGATAAGATAATAAGAAACCAATTGCCTAAGAAATGATAATCAATTCTAAGGTAAGATCAGTTTCTTAGGATAATCGATATAACACAACTTTTCACACATGACGCATCATAGCAACATTACAACTCAAGGACATAACATTGAAAGAGGCAGTTATCAGTCATCACATGGACACATACCTCACAGTGGCCATCCACGAAAACCAAATGAGGCCGACTTGGCAAGCCAGTCACTCTAGAAGCCACATATGCACTGTACCAATCTGTGAAAGTGTGGAAAAGGTTTGCATACTCAAAGCGTGTCACCAGAAGTGTTGGTTCCTCAATCCACTGAAACGAGTGAGACAGTTGTCAGAATGGTAAGACATCAAGACAAAGAGAAGCACCGGAATAAGAATATCACAAAAATGTCTCCAAACTGTTGTAAAGCTTCAAACAAGCAGGCAAGCAGCTAAGTTACACATGCATACTAAATACTTGACAGTATATGAAACCAAACAATATTATTATACCTAATCTGTCAAGAAGTTTACAAATTTATCATGGCTGACCTGTCATAAACCATGAGACTATGAGAGTGCTAATTAAATGAAATCCAGCACTTTATTTAATAATTAATTAATTAATCTCCTTCAACATTGAGCTATAGATGATCAAGATTGGAAACTGTAACCCACCAATTCATCATTTAGCTGGTTAACAAATAATGATGGAGCACATTGGAAAGTGTAAAAGCGTTTAATGCATCAAACAAATATGGGGGTAAATTCATAAAACAATCAGAGAAGAAAACGCCTAATTCAATGGTTAGAAATCAAAAAGAGAAACGAAACTTAAAACCTAAAGCCTAACCTCAGTGCATTGGAAGTCATCGGGGCCAACCAATTGAATTGAATCGATCAACTGACGCATAGTGTGCCTCTCAATGGCACCTTGGGGTACATAGCGATTCAAGAATTCAGCATCTATAAGTTTCTTCCCGAACTTGGATCGATCAGTCACGTGGATATCAAAGGCTCCAGCTTCGAACACCGGCATCTCCTCATCTTCTCCCCTTCCGATCACCGTCGTCAGTTTCTCCCCTCCATTAGACATCTCAATCTTATCGGGGCTCATCCTAAGTCTCCCTGCATCGCATATCGAGCTCTGCAACGTCTCGCTATAGAAACACCTGAACCAGCCTCCGGTAGCACTCCCGTCGCGGTACTTGTGATCAAGCCTGGGAGAGGGTCTAAGCAGGTCATGGCGGCTCGAGAAGCCTTTGCCGAAATAGGCTTCGCAGGATCTGGGAGCGGCATCAGGTATCTGAGCCCAGGGGAGGTAGGAGGGGAGTATCGGCCAGGGTTTGGTATGAAAGAAAAGCGAGCCAGAGTGGTTTCCCAATGTTGAAAGACGATTCTCCGAGGAATGAAAATGGGGGTTCGCCGGCGTGGAATTGTGGCGGAAGTGATCGGGGTGGGAGGAGAAATAGAGGTAGAGAGTTATTGAATTTATCGCGAAGAGAGAGAGAAGAATTCTCAGCTTTTTCTTGTTCATCATCTCTCCTCTCCCTCCCCTATCTCTCTTTCTCTCTCGCTCCGGTCGCTCGCTCGCGCTCTCTCTCTTTCCCCTCGCTGCCTCTGTGATGGAATTGGAAACTGAAGTCCGCAAATAAAGATTGAGGAAGGACATAATTGTAATCCGTAGACGAAACTTCAAACGCGCATCACACCGATTCAGCCTGATCATTAGACGGTTAGACCAGACCACCTTCGATTTAAATTTTGGAACAAAAATCCTCGAATTACATTCCCAAAAAATAATGTTTTTTAAGGTCACACATAAATTTAGAGATGTGTCAATGATGATCTAGTGATATGAAATGACTTTCTTAAATAGAAAGTCATGACTCATGAATTTAAGTCTCAATAGGAGCAGTGGTCTTCAATAGATTAAAAAAGTAATTATGATCAGATACTACATTGTAACAGAAGCATTAAAAAAAAATTAATGTACAAACAAAGAAAAATCCAGTCACATAAGGTGTGTACTGAGTGAACTTTTTTTTTTTTTGATTTGTGCACAGAGTAAACTTGGTTATTCTATAATACAACAACATGACAATGCAAACAATTGCAACCAGAATCCGCCCTCATGGTTTACCATCTAAAATAAATAAATAAATTATCCAAAACCGAAGCGTTTTAGCATCTAAAGCAACACCCCAACCAAGTTTAAGATGAAAAGAAAATGTCATGAATAGAATGAACATGGACATTGACATAAACAATGAGAAATCACAAATTAAAGTTATCTCTGAGGTGCACTCTGAACTAGCCCGACTCAGTGTTTGGATTCAGAATCCGTCTTTGAACATAAGTGAATAGAGTAGATGGAGATACAAATTGTACAAAATGGCGGCTACCTCAGCTCGCGTACGCTCTGAGGAAACAATCATGTTCAAGAAATCACCAAGACTGCCAGAAGAATGCACATGCTGATCATGGAAATGCTAGCGGTGATTGCAGATTGCCCACTAGGAGGAGCATTAGGCCCTGGAGCTGATCCATTATTGTTACTAGCTGGAGCAATCTTGGCAACTGGGGGTAGAGGTGGCTCCACCACATCGCTCTCTGTCAGTACAGGATAGGGAGCCTCCGCTGGTGGTAAATACTGAGGACTCATGAGTTGAAGAAGACTGCCAGGTCCAACTGGGAGCATGTATGGAGGTATCTCCTTGTACCCAAGACAACGGTTGCCTGTGAAATACCAATAGGTTGTCTACTGTCAGTGCCAAATTAGAAACCAAAATAGTTTAGAAAGCTCAACAAAAATGTTGTCTGATTAACAATTGTGCATTTTTTTTATTCTTTTCAAACAATTGTGCAAATTGAGTGTCATAGTCCAAAGGTAATTTACTTACGCCTGTATCTATTAGCTGTGGCCGGGAAGCCTGTTATAACACCATCAAAAGGATTTGCACTGGCACCAAAAACATAGCTATTTAACTCCACATATGGATCTGAGAAGAAGTCCCATGCTTGAGATACAAACTCGTTGCTGAAGAGTTGCACGTATACTTTAACCTTGGAAGCTTGCAGCTTTGCTACAACATTTGTTACCCCAACGAGGAATGAATCATCAGTTGGAAACACGGAAGATTTGCCTATGATTACAGAACTTGCAAACTTCTTGATCTCCAGAATAGTTGAGTTCTGAATATCACTGATTTCCTCCTTAATCCCATAAACACGTTCATACTTGCTATTTGTAAATTTCATCAGAACTGAGCTGTCATTTGAGTGAATCATAACTTTCTTGGTTTTCAGATCAGCTTTGTTGAGAGCAAGTAGAACAGCATCAGTCACACCTAGTCCCTTCTTTTCTGCCAGGTATGCCGCATTCTGTATGGAGCACAGATGAAGAGTGTCAAATAAGTGAACACAAAGGTTAAAGACTCGGCACATTTTTTAGCATCGTCTATGAACCGATTTTCCCTCCAGCAAGTCAAGGCAACCAAGACAACTTTAATAGGATCATGCACACAATTTACTAATGAAATGTCTGATTTGTTACTAAATGTTGCTATTACTTTTCATTTCCCCTTCACTGTACATGGTTAAAGTAATCAACAGCTATAGGAGTAGCTGAAGTGATAATATTATATACTTATGCCTCTCTTTGTTGAATATTAAAATATACTCCATTTTTTTCATTTCCATCCATACAGATGCTAGAGCAAATATATTCTCAACTTGTGAATAAGCAGGCTCTTTGATACGGAGTATATATATCTCATTTTCTTGATGCAATAATCTCACTTACAATGATAGATGTCAGGAGCCAAAACACAGAGAGAGAGAGAGAGAGAGAGAGAGAGAGGGGAAAAAAAAAGAGGTGAAACTAGATGAACTCACCTCTACGGTAATGAGAACACCAGAAACAGATGTAGCATTTGCAGCAAATGTCAAAAAATCATCAAGCGTCATAAATTTCCCCTCATTTTTTGCTACTGGATTCCGGAACAATCTAAATTTTGCAAATGGGTTTGATATTTGTGCTGCAAGAAATTGGAACACATGTCAACATAGTGAAAAGCAATTATTTAGAAAACAATAATGGGAAGTGAGCATAAAGAGATCAACATATCCTAGCAGCAATTAGTAATTTTAGATCTTTAGCAGATCATCGAAATAGAGAACAAATACTAAAGCAACCTTCTTGGCAAAATATGGAGGTTAGATTGAGTGGTTACTGTTAAATTCTGTTTCATTTTATTTTATTTTGTCATAGAGCACATGCAAATTAGAGAAAAGGCTTTTTAAAACATGAGAACCATTTTTCAAAGAGAACAGAATACAAGTCAATTTCCTAGACAGCCTGGCTTGGATAATTAGGTAGTAAATATCTCCAAAGAGACAACTTTACCTGCTTGAAAGCATACAACTTGGAACTTGTAGATTATAAAAGCCATGTGTACAGAATTTGCTAGCAAGAAAGAAAAGGCAACCTAAAGGCATTTTTATAATAAATATTTGAGTTGAGCAAATTGATTGAGAGTTAAGTTACTCGAAAAGGATATGCATTTAGTTTTAGACATTTGAGTTGATCCAACATTGCAAAACTGTCTGAACTTACATTTTAGGCTCTCAATTTGTCCCAAAGCAACTTGATAGGTAGTCAAGTTACTCGGAAAGGATAGCATGTAGTTTGAATACTAAAGTAAAACTTTCTGAACTTACCTTGTAGGCTCTGGATATCTTTCCAATTGAGGTCAAAACTATGTATTGCATTTTGTGTTTTGAGCTCTGGAATGCTAACAGCAAGGTTGCTGAATTGTTGAGCAGCTGTAGTCCCATCTATCATATTTACAGAACCCATGCAGAAAGGTATTCCATCCTTTGTCATTTGGACAGTACAGTCAATAATATCTACGCCATCAGAAACTGCTTTCGAATATGCCTTGTCAGTACAACCAGGATAGTCCCCACTTGCTCCATCAAATGAGATAACCAGAAACTCAGGCACTACATAGTAAAAGGAAAAAGTGAGAAAAATTCACAAGTCGCTATTTGTAAGAGGTTTACCTAATTACCTTTAAGTAAAATTAACAATCGTTATTATTATCTTTGGGTAACATGGAAGGGTCATTCAACATTTCAAATATTCTCATGCTTCACCAAGTTTACCTTTAAGTAAAATGCTAGCAGCAATTTATACTGAAGAAAAATGTTGTTTTATAGGGTTATCTATTATTTAATTCATTTTAAGGACTAAAAAATAGATATGTTCAATTATGCTGACATTGAGCTGGCAAATATTTGCATGCGGCCCAGGTGTACACGAGTACATGCACCCTATCAGCAATGGTCAAATCACAACTGCACTAATGTTCATATGTTCATTTGTTAATATATTAAAATCCAAGTGATAAAACCATCTAAATATTAATTAATACATTACCATCTGAACACATATCACATGAACATCAACATATGTTAATGGGGAGCATCTATGCGTACCACGGTGCTACTGTATTCAGCTGATTTATACTATCAATATCACTCAAGCACTGAAAGTTATAATAGTTGAGCTCGAACTAAACATATTTCAACTCAACCATGGAAACAATTCGTCAACTACAGCATAACTGGTAAGAGACCCTTTACAAAAATAAAGCAAGTGATAATATACATACCTTGATTTTTTTGACCCTTCCGCATATGAGAATAGCAGTCTGCAAAACAATAACAATGTTTTAGCAAGGAGGTAATTTATCTAAATAAGGGTAGAGTCTCCAAACCGTCAACTGAGGATATTGATACATGTCAAATTGAATACAGTACACAACATGGACAAAGCATTTTAACTTGAGTTGAATCAATACCAATAAAGTCATATGAGAACTGGTAATGCATATTAGAGGAAACGACCGAAATTGATGAGAACACAATAGTACACGCGAAAAAAGATACTCCGTAAAAGATTTCTTCAAGATTTAATAGGTTATCTACATAGCATATGCATTTTCACAATTGAAACTGGTTACCATCATATTATTGCCACTATTTGTTCTAATTGCACCTCCTTTAGCCCACAGAGCACATCCAATGATAATTATTAGAATACCTAGTCAAATCAGCATAAAACAAGTTTTTGGAGACTTCCCTTTGCTAGCTAAGTAGTTTATTGGTGGCTCTTTCAAAGGCATTTTATATAGCCCAGAATCTAGCCTTGCAATTCCACATTTTTCTAGTTCCCATCAAAACATTTAACCACAAATTCATTTGTAGCCATGAGAGAATAAAATAACATACAGTGCTAGTAGCACCTTTGCTTCCAAGAGATCAAATTAGTTGATATCTTACCTATGGCCCCTGATGGTGTTATTGGGAAGTCAGAGAGCACACCATCCACAGAATAGTTCCCATTGTCAATGAAGGAAAGGTACTCTGCTACAGGATCATAACTGTAATCGAAGGCAAAAGGAACATCACTGGCAAAGTCTGAGGCATAAACTTCTAGGCCCACTTTATGAGCATCCAGTACAAGAGATGTAGTAGGCTGTAGATAGGAGGAAGACTTGTCCACTGGCCAGATATAACTTTTAGGTACGAGGATCCCTGAGGCAAAGGTTTTAATAGAAGCAAGATTCTGTAACAGAGATCCATATGTTTGGTTGGTTGAAGGTTCAGTTTCATCATTTCCAAGAAATCGGAAAACTAGTTTTGTCACTCTTGGATTGATTCGTGATGCAATACTTTTCAAGAAGTTCACTTCAGGTGATGAAATGTAGTTAATAACAACCCTTCTAGATACACTAAGAACAAAGGTTCTCATACTCAGATTGTGTTGGCTATAGAAGGAATCATGCTGCAAAATTAGTCAAACAAGAAGAGTTCAGCAAAGGCCAACAGAACAAGGATAGCATACCTCAAGAATAAATACCATTATTTCCAATTTATTTCATACAATTTGCACTTTGGGTAAACCCAAAGTTGTTAAGACGCCATGACCAAAATCCCAAGTATTTTTCAGTAAAAGGGGATTTCTTAAATCGAAGTAAAATAAAACTTAGTAATTCTGTATATAAAACACCTCCGGTTCTAAAAAGTTAAGATACAAAAATGGAATTAGATAAATCAGTGAAGAAATATTGAGCAAGTTGGGATTGAATAATTACCTGAACATTCAACCATAACCCTGGAGGTTGGACTTTATTAAACACATCTTCGACAGTAAGAATCTGCTGCGGGGTGCCATCAAATCTACTTGATCGAGAATAAACTCCTTGTTGCACTGTTCAAGGAAACAAATATAATCAGCATAATTACAGTCTCCAAGTATCAAAATACAAAAGATATGTAGCTTCTCTGACACTGAATCCTGAAAAGTAAACTCTCTTAGCATAAAAAAAAAAAAAAAAAAGAAGGATGAGAGAACCAAACTATAACTGGTTCATATGAAATATTTGCAACTACCATACATGTTAAGTCACTTTCCAAAGGTTCTGATTCTATAGATGGGAGATAAACCCAAAAGATTACATGTCATTACAAATTGATAATTGCTGAACTTAACCCACATAATTGCACACCAAAGCAATACCAAACCCCAAGCTCCAGCCCATCCCAACCAATTTTGATGCCAAACAATAGTCACCCCTAAATTCAATGAGCAAGCATTCATATGCATGTATGAGTAACAATATCAAACATCTGACCTCGCCCCAATTTGATGCCAAAAAATAGCCAGTACTAAATTTAAAGAATGCTAATAGACCAAAACTCACAATTGACAAGCGTCAGCTGCTTGAAATTAAAATCTATGGGAAACCATGCCGTCGTTGGAACCCCATTCACAAGGTAGGTACTCTGCTTATCTTTGAAGAGTGTAGCAACGTTGGAGGCATTATCAAGCTTGATATCTGGAAAGCAGATTCCAACTCCATCTTTTGTTAGTTGTACATCACACCACATAATCACATTAGTTAAGCTAGTCAACCCAGCGAAACTGTATGCATTAAAGCTGGAGTCGGGGAATAACCCTGAAAATCCACCACGAGCAATGACTAAGGGTGCATCTCCTGTAAAGCGAAACCAAAAAAAAAAAAAAAATTAATATAGAAATTCAGTTTTCTGACATTAAAGAAGAAAAGAACATGTAGCATTGGTACATTTACAGAATGAAGAATCTTCACCAATTTTTTTATTTCCCTTTTCTACAGAAGTGCAGATACTTTTTTTGGGAAGGTACACCGTACATCTACAGCAACATTTCTAAAGATGCTAACAATCAAGAATGATTGCTTATTAATAGGAAAATGGATAATTAAACATGCACATATACTTTCTGGAAGCAACACTTAATTGTAACCAATGCTATGTTCCTATAGGATTTTTCAGCCTTATTCAAGTGGGCTACACAAACATGACAAAAGAGTTATCCCTTTTGAAAATCTAATTAATGCAGGCATATACTGCACAATTCAATTTCAATTGAAAACAAATGTCAAGGCAGTAAATCAACCAATAGGCTATGATGAATAAATAACGTTCCATATGTCATTGTTAAACTTATTCATAACAACTGCAGTCCTCCTTATTGCTCAACAACAAATTTTGGAAATAAATTAAAGGAAGCGCTTGATTTATCTTCAACATTTCATATCACTTCTGTAGTTCTGTCTTAAAAGGCATACTCACTAATAACTCATATTACCGTCTAACTAACTCACTTAAAGTAAAATTATATAACTAAGCAACCTATTAAAAGCATCTTAAACAAATTTTTGCACATTCTCTTCTTAATCGCGAAACAGTAAAAAATTACGCAAGGGCGAAATTTTTTTAACTGCGTTTACCAGTAGCATAATTTATTAGTTTTCATAAAAATAAAAGGAAAACACGAAATCAAAATGGAACTGGAAGTTTTCAGCTCGGTATGAAGCTGAGGAACGTCATATACGAAGCCAGGAGGATCAGAGAGAGAAGTTACCGCTAAGCGTTTGCCATTTCGAGGTACTGTTAGTAGATCCTTGAGCAGCGACCAATGTCACGGCGGAGCAGAGAAGCAAGAGGTTGAAGATCGAGCGGAGCTTCCACATTGCCAGGGAGCTCAGCCGAAGAACTACTACGGCAAGACTCAAAAACTCTCCGGCAACAGCTTTCTTCGGGTCTCCTAGCTAAATGCAGCAGTAGATTTGGTCAATTTCAACTGGAAGGACAACCAAAACCAGACGCGTAGATGACTGCACAGTAGAGAGAGAGAGCGATAGAGAGAGAGAGAGAGAGAGAGATATTGCTCTATTGGCAGATGGACAGAAATAGAGAGAAGCATTAAGCTTAAGCTTTCAGGCTGGCAGATTATTTTTCATTTTTATTTAGTACTCTGGTACTATTGTTGAATTGGTAAATATTATAATTATTAATTATTTAATGCGAGCCGGTTGTTTCATTGCGCGTTCCAGAACTCAGTGATTTCAATCTGGCTACGGCTATGAGCCAGCCATTTCTCTTTACCGGCTTAATTCCCTTTCATAACCCAATTTCTATCAAAAATACTAATTTTGCCCTCAAAAAGTATATATTCTCAATTTTCGCTACAAAATTTGTATTGATTGTTCAAAAAAAAAAAATACATGTGTCAATATATGAAACAAATAATATATATCCTCCTCGAAAGGGAGACGTGTGGATTTGGAGTGAAATTCTCACATCATAATGTGACAACTGATAAGTTTAATTATTATCAGTACTCTATTGACTAATTCATAATATGTATCACTATGTGTAGTGATTTGGAGAAATATTTTATTTTTATTTTTAATAATATAACTTTAACATTTTCTTTGTATTACAAAGATGGGATCCTTATAATATGGTAATCTTTTTTATTGTATTAAAGGCTTCTAGTATTAAGGAAATATGTAATGTAATTTTTAAGGCTTATACTATTAAGTAAATATGTAATATTAAAGTTTTCTACTATTAAGGAAATATTTAACTTGTATTTGAAAATTTATTTAGAAATTCATGGAATTAAACAAAAGCCATTAAACGAAGTCAACAAGTGGACATGTAATACTTTGATCTCATTAATGTTGGATTATAGAGTTCAAAGTAATATATAGAGTTAATTCTATTAGATGTCATTTGTATTTGGTGTCAATTCAAATTCAGTCTCGATTATTGTATTATTATTTTTTGGACATTTTTAGTCATTCTCATAATTTTTTATATTTTAAGTAAGGACATTTTTGTTTGTTTATACATTTTCTTTTGTTATTTTCCCAATTTCGACCGGTTTAATTGGTTGAAAACTTTCCTCTACTTTTTAGTAACCATATTTTTTTAACTGGTTTTTAATAAACTATTAAACCAACTAAATTAGTTGAAACTGAAAAAAAAAAATAACAAAAGAAAAATATGAATATACAAAAATACTCTTACTACAAATAAGAAAAGTCATGAAAATGACTAAAAGTGTCCAAAAAATAATAGTTTGAGATATTAAATGACAAAAACGATAGTCTGACACTAAATTTTAAATTGCCACCAAAGACAAGAGATCTCTGGTAATTTAAACTCTTTATATATATATATATATAAAGCAACCCCATCGAGGATAAAAAACTTACTCCGTATATATTACTTATTAAGAAATTAATGAAAATAAATTATTATATTATATATTTAAAATTTCTTTACAATATCAATCAACACTAAGTATAACTGTGTTATATATTTGGCTGTACCGAATATTATTAATATCAATAATGACAATATTTAATACACTTAAATAACATGCATATGCGTAGTTTTTGACTTGTATATCAGTATTGTACAAATCTATATTTTTATATATTTATTATTATATGACTATAAAACCAAAAAAAAAAATAAAAATTGTGGACTCAATATTATATTTTGAATGGAAATTACTAACACAAGACTTCTTAAAGGCAAGATTTTAGTAATACAAAGCAGAGTTCGGAGATTGCAAGTAAGTCCTCATTCAAAGTCATTTGCTTCTCGTGACAAGTTTGAAAACAGAGCCGGCAGCCGGCAGCCGATGTATGAGCCATCAGCCATCCAAGTCACAAGTGGCGCGAACGCCGGCAAATTATGCTGTGCATCCGTATGCACCAAGCATGGTGCATACGGATGCAAAAACAACGTCGTTTTTATAAAACGCGCGTCTCCCCTTAAAAAAAAAAAATAGGTTCGAAATTATAATTCCATAATCGATGAACTATAATTCCATAATCGATGAACTATAATTCCATAATTGATGAACTATAATTCCATAATCTAATTTATGAACTAAAATTTTCAGAATGAATGAACTAAAATTCCAGAATCTATGAACTAAAATTTCATAATCGATGAACTATAATTCCAGAATCGATGAACTATAGTTCCATAATCGATGAACTATAATTCCATAATCCATGAACTAAAATTTCATAATGAATGAACAAAATAATGTTGTTACTAGGAATCGAACTTGATTTTTTTTTTTTAAAGGAGAGATGCGCGTTTTTAATAAAACGACGTCGTTTTTGCATCTGTATGCACCATGCATGCACAGCATAACTATTCGCGAACGCCAGGCAATCAAGATAACGACAACAACATGGGTCAGCGGGAACTAGTAAGTAGTAAATGCCAGCGGGTCAGCCCAAAATTTCAAGCACTTTTAAGAAAACAAAAAAAAAAGATTAATAATAATAATAATATAACATCATCGTCCATCATCATATTTCATTATCAAGCCAAGCCGGAACGCGCAAAACGGGTCACGTTCTTGTGGGACCCCCGCGATTAGGCCAGCTTGAGCTTCAGTGGTATCGGAAAAATCCGAGAATGCCGAACCACCACTCACCTCTCAAGGAATTGCATTGCCTGTCTTTGTTGAAAACATATATACATATAGTAAAGATAAGAAAGATAGAGAATATGAAAGCAACAATAATTGTAAATAATGGTATGAGGAATTCCATATTCTACATCGGACACTGTTTTTATATTCTGTTATTCAAATATATATTTTGAATAAAACTTAGAGATAAAAGACTTACAATGGAATAAACTAATTTAGATTGTATATAGATTACATAGTTGATCGATACAAATTAAGAAAGTCAATAGTCATCCCTCTTAAAAAAAACAAACTTTTAATTATTGTAATTATGATTTACCAATTTGACTGGAATTGTCATTTACAATTTGTGATATAATGTAATATAGCATACATATATCGTAGCGAACGGTTTTGAATACATGGAGGTGTTGTTGAAAGTTCAAAGTTGGTGTTAGAAAGAGGGCTCTATCCTTTTGGCTTTGGGTGTGAGAGTGAGATAAATAATAAGTTATAATATATAAGATAACAGAGTCATTTTCTTAGTTTGGAAGGGTAGTTATCAATGCTTTTTAAAAAAGTAGATGAAGATATTATGGCATCTCCACTAATTAAAATTTTTGGATATTTTCTTAGTGACAAGTAAGAAAGAAGAAAACGAGAGAAAATGAAAAAGGGAAAAAAAAAGTATCTCACACAAAAAAAAAAAAAAAAAAAAAAAAAGACATATGCATCAACCTATTCGATCTACTTCTTTCACAATTATATCGGTCACACAAAAATATAAAATTTGCATAAGGAACAACTTTGAGAAAACCACACCTTCAAAAAAAAAAAAAAAAACCACGGCCATCTCAATGGTTTCTTTGAAAAAAAAAAAAAAAAAAAAAAACTCATAAAATTAATGTTGAGATTGCTCTTAAGCCTTCAATACAAAGTTATATATAGTTATTTATAAAGATCAGCGTGATAAAGATTTTTATACTGCCAATACATCCGTGTTATAGTTAATGAGAAGGTAACGAAATCTTGCCACACCAAACTTTCAAAACTTATCTACAATATTCTGTTAGAATTTTATCTCGTCACTAGCATGATTTGGATTGCTTGTTTATATGATTGGGCCAAGTTTGGTTCAATGGTGATTGAGTTGAGCTAACTTGGGTAAATATGTGTCATTTAATTTAATTGGATTAAAATGCTTATTTATATGGATGTATTTGCTCCGATATCATAAATATTTAATTTTAATACTACCTTTATGTTATAAGGATTGGATTAACATAATCTGTTGAATGGGCAGTCTAAAGATGATTGGACACATACACAACAATCATCAATACTAATGTATATTCAACGATCAACATCAAATTATTATATTAGGGTATTAATTAGCTGGATATTTGATCATTTATTTACGACATCGGAATTAATAGGCTAACATATTATATTATAAGTTAATATAAACAGAATTATTATTATTATTATTATTATTATTAGTCCGCGTTAAATATAGCCAATTGGAAAGCTGAGATCGCTCTACAAACAGATAAATACAACATCAATTTTTTGGGGTATTTGGCTAAACACGTTGCTTGACTTTATACTTTTGAATGAGTATTTTGTTTTGTTTTGTTTGTTTTGTTTTGTTTTTTTTTTTTTTTTGATGATGAAAATTTATACCTTTTATTGTTATGCTTGTTCATCATACTAAAGCGTAAAAAGTCAATATCGCTCTAACTGAGACCATGCTCCCATTTGAGAGAGAAGAGTCAATACCGTCGAATCACGTCGTGTCACTAGACCACAAGGCTATTGACAGTTATAAATAATTTAATGCACTGCAATTGCAAACACTCATTAGCCATTTTTGAATTAACATTTTAGAACGTTATTTTATGATTATAAATTTGACATGTGCAGAATTTGATCAGTGAATAGTAAACATGACATGTAAAATGGGATAAAGGAAGTATTTGAAAAACATTGTTGGTTGGTTATATATAATCACCAAATTAATTTAGGCATAACCTATATAAGGTTGACATTCCAATTTTCTCTTAATTTATTAGTATTTGGTTGGATGAGGTGTATAACGCATTCAAAAGCGATAACCAATATGTATTATAATTGACTTTTTGATATTTTCTCAATCTAGAATTGGTTTAAGGTAATCCCGACCCGAGTTATGATATGACAAATTAATATGACCTCGATCATGACCACAACCAATGTCCAATGCATATGGAAATATAATGTTGATATTATTAAATAATTATATCATATTATTTAGATCTCAACGTGCATCCAATTTTCTTTGATTCGTAATCAGTGGAGAAAGGGGGAATAAGAATATGTGGAAAGTAAGAGGAAGGAGAATTATTTATTTATTTATTTTGATAGGCGATGTTGAAAATGTAAAATATTATCGCAGACCGGAGACCGGAGTATGTGGGGCAAGAATCTTTATGTTTATACATGCGACATGTGCGGTGGTCCACTTCAAATGTTTGGTCCTGTCGTCCCTCTACACACCTGTGTAGTAGTTAAATGTTGGTTTGTTGAGTGAGAGTAATGTCAGCAACTTATACCATCGACCCGAGTCTAAAATACACAATTTACACATTAAATTATTGTGAATATTTAATATGTAAATTGTGAACATTTAAATTGTGTATTTTTAGATCTGGATCCAGATCCACATAATAATTTGTCATTTCTGGTGGGTTGGGCCGACATGGACAACCAGGCTCATGGGCCGTGCATAGCCACATTTTTTTTTTTTTGGTTTCTTTTTTGTACAAGCTAAGGGGCAAATTATTGTATGGACCATGGTCCACACAATGTTGTTATGGACCATAATAAAAAGTACATTTTTAATATACTGAATGTACTATACAATATAATGTACACTCAGTACAAAAATAATGTACATCCCTTGAATATAATGTACATTATTTTTGTACTAAATATACATTATTTTTGTATTAAATATACATTATTTTACAGTATATAAATTATGGTGCGCACAGTGTGGACCATGGGCCTGCTCGACGTATTTGCCACCTTAGATCAGAGCTTATTATGGTTTTGGGCCTAATATACTAAATCCAGCAAATATAAGTAAAGGTGCAAAGTTCTTGTTGAAGCAAAAAGACATTATTATTTATTATAGGACAACATAATAAGACGTTAAGAAACGCCGAAAGTTGTTTGGCGACGCACGTGAGCACCGTTTCATTGCACAAAAACAAAACAAAAACATGAAAAGCTTTAGACAAAGACAGGTGGACACCACATTAGGTTGACGGATGAGTCTCACAAATCACAATAATAGCGAAGATAATGGAAGGAATGTCATACTAGAATGGGGTTTGAGCGTTAATTAGCATTGGCGGGGAACCTTAAGGCCACATTTGCCGGGGAGCTTCATGGCCTTTTCAGGGCTGAGACCAAACTTGGCGAGTTGAGGCTTGAGTTTGCACATGCATTTTAAGTCAGCGTTGCACAGAACGGTGCAACAGGCCTTGGTGGGATCCTTGGGCGCCGCGCCGCTGATCGCCGGCAGACATTCCGCCAGCTCCGTCACTTTCACCTTGCAGATGACGCTTGTTGCCGTCTGGGCATTTGCCACGCCAATCATCACCGCCACCACCACCACACTCAACACCATAAATAATGACTTATTAGCCATATTATATATGCAAACTAGATCAGATCAGATCGGCCTGTATATATAGTAGTGGTTTATATCTGCAAGACTACAACTGATGATCTGATGCATATTGGCCTGCGATCTTGTAGCTATATATACAGGACCCCGGAGGCCGGGTGGGTAGCACCATTTGGCTCGTGACTTCCCTGTCACGGACTAGCTAAGCTAGTAGCTATATCTGCTAGTACTTTACGGAAGAATAATATATATTCTGTTTTCCACTTTTGAATTGGCTTTTAACTGTAGTGCGAGTATAATCCAAGTCCCGTGAAGATTAATATAAAAGAACAAATTAAACCTGCAACTCACAGGGAAAAGGCCGCATCTTTATACATTAAATAATAATAATCTGCATTATATTGCACAGACAACCAGTAAACAGAAGTTCAGGCCATCAATGAGCCCAATTCATCAACAAGACCATCTCATCTGATCTGATACAATAATTTCATTTCGACCAAACTAACTCTGTTACAATGCAATATCTGTTCATAACTACTTTCTCATATGGGAGAGCAACTTGGTGCCACTAGATCACATGACAGTATTAGCTAGCTAGAATGGCTAGTTGCGTCCAATAAGTATGGTCGGGATCATATCACTGGCAATTTATATCCTACACCACGGTGCGCGTTGCACTATGCGCTCAGATGCAAAACGACGTCGTTTTAATTTTTTTTTTTATTTGAAATTTCCCGCCCCAGTGAATGGCAGTAGTTTTTTCTTTAAAAAAAAAAATCCGCTGTTCAAGAATGTACATAATGTTATACTAGAATACACATAATTGTATATATGAATGTACATAATTATATAACAAAATATACATACTCTTTTTAAAAGATAATACACATAATCTAACATAATACATAATAAACATAAACTTTTAACATAATACACATCAACTATTAACATAATACACACAAATTTTCTGATTCGGATATACATAATTGTATAAAAAGAATGTACATAATTGTATAAAAAATGTACATAACTATATGAACCAATACACATAACTGTATGAACAAATACACATAATTCCAGCAATTTCCTACTGCGCCTCCCAAAACGACGTCGTTTTGGGAGGCGCGCGGCGCACAGTGCTATGTGCGCCGTGGTGTAGGGTATAACGATTGCATATCACTGACATAATATGGAATAATGGCATGTATATATGTATTGATTCTTTACTTACTATTTTAAATTATGGCAATTCATCATACAAGAATATTATAAAAATTCTGAGTGTTTGATGAATGGAGGATGACTTAATTAGCTTGTTAAAGGGGCAAATTAAAGGAACTGTAGTTAGGAAGAAGGGGTCAAAATAAAGGGCGAATTAGGTGGGCAGGCCAATAACATTGTGTTTGGAATTGAAGAATGTCCAGATCGATCGGGGCCATAATCATTGCTTATTACTGGATCTCACATATACTCGGATCACCACAAGGAATAATCACCAAGAATAATAGATACATAATCACCACTCAAAAAGCTGCGTTTTACCTACTGTTTCTCTCCAACGCTGAACATGTTTCTTAGTTGTGATACGTTGTTTCGGTGTGATTAATGATGACCTTCAAACCTCAGCTTTGTTTTGAGCCTGAGAACTAACGCTACTATACCCCCTCAGCCTCCGACGCCTCTTATCGTCCCCGTCTGAGACCCACACACACCGTTCCCAGGTTATATTATTGTGTCGTTACTACGTCGTACTAACTAACATTTGCGGTGTCGCTGAAATTAAAGTAGAAAAAGCTAGCGACAATGGGAGGGTCTGACCATGAAGATGACTCCGATCACGGTGCCAAGGCTTCTTATGCGACTGAGGAGGATGAAGAGTTCGTTCAGATGGGTCCTAAGTGCAGTATCAAGGAACATCTTGAGATGGACAAGGACGATGAAAGCTTAAGGAGGTGGAAAGAACAGCTTCTCGGGAGCGTCGAAATCAATCCAGGTACATTTATATAAGTTGACATCTGATAATGTTATATATGTTAAGGTTAATTGTACTGTGTTGGTTAGAGTTGTTTGTTGTCTGGTTTGGTGGTTTGTATTGTTTCATGCAGAAGCACAAGAACCTGATGTGAAGGTTATGAGCCTCACAATTATCTCTGCTGGAAGGCCTGATATAGTTCTTCAGATTCCTGAGAATGGGCGGAACCCAGAAGGCCTGTGGTTTACCTTAAAAGAAGGCAGCAAATATCGGCTCAGATTCGCCATCAAGGTCAGCAACGAGATTGTTTGCGGCCTCAAGTACATTAACTATGTCTGGAAAACCGGAATCAAAGGTACTAATACTACTTTTTGGCAATTTGAGTTCATGGGAAACTGTTTTTCAATTCGTGTGTTTTAATGTAATATTGTCTCTATCAGTTGACAGCTCTAAAGAGATGCTGGGAACGTTTAGCCCTCAAGTGGAGTCATATATACATGAGATGCCAGAAGAGAATACTCCCTCTGGCATGTTTGCTAGAGGAACATATTCTGCAAGAACTAAGGTTATGATGTTTCTTTAAAACATTCTTATATTGGATCTAAGCAACACGTGGACCATAACTAAAAGTTTAAGCTGATAATTGGATTGCACATTAATAGTTATATGATCTGACTATTATAAAAAAAAAAATCACTAATTCAGTGGTGTATTTAATGATGTTTCAGTTCATAGACGATGACAAAAAGGTCTATTTGGACATCACCTACACCTTTGACATTCAGAAGGAGTGGGCAGAAACATCATAGGACGGAGAAGAAACAGATCAGATGGTGATTTTGATCACTGTTATCAAGTTAGGAACATGGAGTCCCTATCTCGCTGCTCCTTTTTACTACATCCCCTAGTACTTATTCTCTGTTAATTAGGTTTTTTCTTAATTTTTACAAAACTCTCTTTATTCTTTCACTGAAGGGCTATCTTCTGCCTTCACACCTTATAAAAACATGCATTGAATTCATTATTTTTTTTTTTGGAATTTTTATGATCAGTGTTTGTTGTTATGTATTTTTAATATATATAATATAATTTCATTTTACTTTCTTCTGCTTAATGTTAATGTTGAATACACCGTACCCTAACTTTTCTTTCATTTTATCATTATTTTTTAAATATAAATGATTGATGGATTGAGAGCTTTGTAGTTTTGTTGTGATTTCAATAAATAGTGGGAGAGGGATAAAATTGGGCCGTGGGCCCGTGGCTCTTCCTAAGGGGGTGGCGCTTGGTCGGTTGGCGGTGGTCAGAGAAGATCATATACAATTTTATTTTATTTGTTTTTTAAGTAATTATATTGATATTGATGAATACTAATTAAGCAACAATGACATTACCCCATGACATGCGTACCTTGTACCGTATAACCTAATCAATTGTATCATAATCATAGAGAACGGTACAACGTACGATGGCCGGCCACACAATTAATCGATATTTTATTTTTCAGTATGGTTACAATTTTCACTATATATATATATATATATATATATATATATATATATATATATATATATATATATATACATATACATATACATATAATATACATATAAATATAATATACATATATGCAGAGATACTTTTTCGTACAAATATTCTAAGCCGATGCACCTTAAATTTTAAATATACGCATCTTAAGCTAAATTAACATAAATATAATTTTTGTATTAAAAAAAAAATCTTATAAAGAATTTGATTGTGTTTTGTGACTGTAACAAAAAAAAAAGTGTGTCCTCAATTAAAGAACAAACTGTAAAAGTAGGAAAGAAAACAATGCACCTTAAGAAATAAAATCACATACCATAACAAAAGAAAATCATGGACCTAAAGCTTTAGACAAATGCAATTAAATTTCAACAATTGACGGACTTTAAGCACACAGCACAACAAAATTTAAATTTGACTTAGATGAAAAAAATTATATTGCCACCGCGTTTTTACTCTCATCTCACCCCACATTCGTACATAAGCACACCATCCACATTTGAACCGTAATATATATATATATATATATATATATATATATATATATATATATATATATATGCTTAGGCTATGGTGCGAAAAAGGTCCCGTATGCGAATGAACAACAACAAAAAAATAGCACTTCTAATCTACACGACACAAAACTGTATCTTGAATAGTATAAAAATGTGCTTTGAAAGGCTCACAAATGTGCACTCCAAGACAAAACAATATGCGCTTCAAAGGTACAACAATGTGCTTTGCAAGGTTCAACAATATGCACTTCAGAGACACAACAAACAATGTGCTAAGGAAGGCACAACAATATACTCTAAAAGGCTCAACAATATTCGTTGTGCTATGAAGGGTACGATATTATGCTCTGAATGGGTACAATATTATGTTATGCAATAAGGGAAAAATGCAACCCAACAGGATAACTTAAGTGGTAAATGAGTTCTCTTTTGTGGGAGAAAATTCTGTACCCGAATGTGGACCGTTAAACGAACAGAAAAAGAACCGGGCCACATTGTGGTTTACACAAAAAAAAGGGAAAAAATTATTATTTACACAAATTATCATACTACACAACGTTTTTAAAACATATCTAATTCTAAACACTTAATTTAAAAAGAATCAAAAAATGAGTTTAAATCATATTTTTCACCTAGACAACATTCTATATTCACTTCATAATATACTTGGCTTAAAATCACTCTTATGATAACAACGTATGAAAATATAATTCCAAAAAAAATTTAGCGGAACATAATTTTGGTACTAAAATAGTTCTGTATGAGTTTAATTCAAATTCTGTATGAGTCTAAAATAAATTGCCGCCTTTATGCAATAATTTTGCGAGTGGGAAAAACGAGAAAACGAGATGTGGATGATGGGCCGCCCGTATAGGGCTAGTGTAGAAATGACGGGAAGTTAATGCTGAGGTGTGAAGTTTACGGATGAGCTGTCCAAAAAGGAGAGCGCGCGTGAGGGCATCAACCAGCGCGTGGGGGAAAAACCACCTTATCGAAGTGGGCCTCCAGCACAGTCCATCCCCCTAACTGTCCAGCTTCTCCGCCTCATAGTCTTTGCGTGTCCACAGCCCAAGACTCGTCTCTTCTCCCCTATGTTTTTGCTCTGTGTTCAAGCAATTAAGCGATACTCGATCCATTCATTTCTCTTTCTCCCTGTCTCTCTCCTTGACAAAACAGTCAAAACGTTGAATAAACTCAGCACCCACCTTGATTTTCCTCAAGGTACGTGCTGGTAAGTGGTAACTACGTGTTAATCACATGTTGCTAAAAAAAAATGGTTTCTATTGGATTGCTTGTTGATGTGGTTTTGTTAATTGTTATTGCCCTGCGATTATTTTTTTCTGTTCTGAAACGTTTGCGATTTGGACAATTGGATTGCTGTGCTTGTTTGCATGGTTTGTTTAACGGTGCTCTGGATGATGAACTGTGTTTCAGGATTGGGCTTTGATTGAGTGAGTTTGATTTCGTGTTCCCCGAGATTCGGGGACTGAGGAGATGTCGAGTTTTCAGGGTGTTCTCGTGTCTGATCAATGGCTTCAGAGCCAGTTCACGCAAGTCGAGCTTCGCAGTCTCAAATCCAAAGTAAACCTCTCTGCTATTTCATCATTTCTGTAGTTATGTTTTTGTTTGTCGGATTGTTGAATTGGATTCTCTGTTTTTAGTTCATTTTTGTGAAGAATCAGAATGGCAAAGTTACAATTGGCGATTTGCCGCCTTTAATGGCGAAACTGAAGGCTTTTAGTGAAATGTTCAATGAGGAGGAGATTAGGAACATTTTGGGAGAATCTGGTTCTGATATCAATGATGAGGTTGATTTTGAGGGCTTTCTCAGGGTGAGTGAGTATTTAATACTTTTCATATAATTAATATCTGGTCACCTTTGAATGCCTGTCATGACATGTTCTTAATTGTTTGGTTGTGAATTGATTTTTGAATTGGGATTCTTGAGCTTTTAATGTAATTAAAAGAAGCTAGTAAGAATAATTTCTGCTTCTTTGTTCCAAATGTTAGTAATTGTATATGGATTTTCTGCTTTTGGTGTGTAGACATACTTGAACTTGCAAAACCGAACTGCATCCAAATCAGGTAGTTCGAGAAGCCCTTCCTCATTCCTCAAGGCCACTACAACCACCCTACTTCACACAATCAGTGAATCAGAGAAGGCATCATATGTTGCTCATATCAACAGCTATCTCAGAGATGATCCATTCTTAAAGGAGTTCCTTCCAATAGATCCAGCTTCCAATGCGTTGTTTGATCTGGCAAAAGATGGAGTTCTTCTATGGTATTGAACATGGAAGGCTTGATAATACTCAAGATTGCTTGCCAATCAATATAGAGCTGATTTTATTTAAGTTTTTTTCTTTGATTTTCTACAGTAAGCTGATCAATGTTGCTGTACCTGGTACAATAGATGAAAGAGCCATCAATGTTAAGCGAGTACTCAACCCATGGGAAAGAAATGAGAACCATACCCTTTGCCTCAACTCTGCAAAGGCTATTGGATGCACAGTGGTCAATATAGGCAATCAGGACCTGATTGAAGGAAGAGTGAGTTATATTGTTGACTTATGAGCTTATATTTGTTTCCATATGTCTCTGCATTCTTAGTTCCTTAATGTCATCCAACTTTTTGCAGCCTCATCTGGTTCTTGGATTGATTTCTCAAATCATAAAGGTCAGTATTTAGATTTCACTCCACTTTTTGTGTTTCTATCTTGGCTTGCTAGACAGAAAATCAGCAGATTTATACTTTTAGTTTAATGCAATAAGATTGGATTGATTTGCTTATGATTAACATTTTTTGTCCTATATTTTTAGATCCAACTGTTGGCAGATCTCAACCTCAGGAAAACCCCTCAGCTTGTAGAACTCGTGGAGGACAACAATGTACAAGAATATTCATGTTTTTGGTTTTATTTCTTTCTCACTTATTTGTTTGTCTTCAAGTTCTGAACTTCTGGTGTGATTGTTTTTAACCTTTGCAGGATGTTGAGGAGCTTTTGGGATTAGCCCCAGAAAAGGTTTTACTGAAATGGATGAATTTTCATCTCAAAAAAGGAGGCTATAAAAAGACTGTATCAAATTTTTCGTCAGATTTGAAGGTAAAATCCTTGCATTTAGGAGCACTAAGCTACTCAATGGAAGTAGTTCCTTCTTAGTCTAGCTAGTAATAGAACCATGTAGAGACTTAGTCTAACTTTGTCATTTTGTATGTGATATCCGTGCAAAATAGGAAGCCACAGGGATTTTAAATTGATGAATTTATCATCGGGAAATGATGAAATTTGGATTGCCCTTCTCAGTTTCCTGGACAGTATGTAGTCAAAACCAAAATGTGGGTTTGTACTTCAGGATTATTCTGGGAAAATGAGGGGATTGTGTTTTTGTGGCCATGTTTAAATGCCTCAGTTTCTTGTGATTTTCTGTCTTGAATTTCACTAGGTTGTGATCCCAAATTCATAATGGTTGCAAATAGCTTTGCTTTGCAATTACAGTTTGTTCTTGTGCTGCAGGATGGAGAGGCATATGCTTACCTTCTTAATGTACTTGCGCCTGAACATTGCAGTCCAGCAACGTTGGATTCCAAAGATCCCACTGAAAGGGCAAACATGGTCCTTGATCATGCAGAAAAAATGGACTGCAAAAGATACTTAAGTCCAAAGGACATTGTTGAAGGCTCAGCCAATTTGAATCTTGCCTTTGTTGCACAGATCTTCCACCAAAGGTGCGAAGCTAATAATGTCTCTAATCATTTTTTATTATTTTTTTTCTAATCATTTTTAGTTGCTTATTATACTATGAGAAGGAAAACATGTATTTAGAAAAAGATTTTCCTTACAGGAATGGCCTGTCTACTGACAACAAGAAGATCTCCTTCGCAGAGATGATGACAGATGACGAACAAATATCGCGAGAAGAAAGATGTTTCCGACTATGGATCAATAGTCTTGGCATCTCCTCTTATGTCAATAACTTATTTGAGGATGTCAGAAATGGGTGAGCAGTAGTGAGCTGTATGCGCAAGTTTGGAGACACTATAAACATAAGATAGATACTTCAAAATATTTTCTACATGTTTCTGTTACATATAATGATTTTATCAGATGTTGTAGACTTGTAGTGTATCTTGACTATAATCAACCTTCAGAATATCCTTACGGCTTGTATTCCCTTTTCTTTTAGATGGGTACTTTTGGAGGTGCTGGACAAGGTTCATCCCGGATCCGTTAATTGGAAGCATGCAACAAAACCTCCTATTAAGATGCCATTTAGGAAAGTAGAGAATTGCAACCAAGTTGTCAGGATTGGGAAGCAGTTAAAACTCTCTTTGGTGAATGTGGGTGGAAATGACTTTGTTCAGGGGAACAAAAAACTTACTCTTGGTAATTAGTCCAATTAATTTAGTCTTATTTAATTTATTATATTGCTCCCTCTTCCTCCTCCTTGGCCATGGTGGTTAGTATTTCTTTGTCTGAAGCACCATAAAATGCTCACTTTTTTTTTTTTTTTGGGTACTCAGCATTCTTGTGGCAGTTAATGAGGTTTAACATGCTCCAACTCTTGAAGAACTTGAGATCCCGCTTTCAAGGCAAGGAGATTAGTGATGTTGATATCCTGAATTGGGCAAACAAAAAAGTGAAAAGCACAGGAAGAACATCTCGAATGGAGAGCTTCAAGGTCAAATCTTAGGAAATGCCTTTTTTTTTTTTTGAAGCATCATTATCTTTTATAATATGATGACATCATGGTGATGTTCCTTTTTGGATGGTTGTTTAGGACAAGAGCCTTTCAAGTGGGTTATTTTTCCTCGAGCTTCTCAGTGCAGTGGAGCCACGGGTTGTTAACTGGAACCTTGTTTCTAAGGGTGAAAGCGGTATGAATTCCATTCCCATGAAGCCACTAGCTTTATTTTTGTTCAAAATGATAATGGAATGCGAAAGATGACTAGTCTTTTTTATGGCAGATGATGAAAAGAAATTAAATGCTACATATATCATTAGTGTTGCCCGGAAACTTGGATGTTCAATATTTTTGCTGCCCGAGGATATCATGGAGGTGAGAACATTATCACTCTAAGTTGTGTATCCTCTATCCTCTATAAACTAAGCCTATGAGTATTGGCTGTTTGATGACAGGTCAACCAAAAGATGATCTTAACTCTCACTGCCAGCATTATGTACTGGAGCCTTCAGCAACCGGTGAATGATTCAGAGTCGTCTCCTTCGCCTGCTACTTCCGAGGCATCCCCAGCTCCTTCGACAAATGGCTCATCATCTCCTCCTGCTGGTCCCGCTACCCCTGATGCATCCCCAGCTCCTTCGACAAATGGCTTGTCATCTCCCGCTGTAGCACTTTCCCCCGATTCATCCCCAGCACCATCTGTCAACGGGGAAGATGACAGCTCACTCGTTGGAGTGTCGAATCTGACCATCAACGATGCTGCCTCTGATTCTACAGTCTCGTCTTCACTGGTTGAAAGCGAGGGCAATGTGTCACAGAAGGCTACGTCTTCACAGGTTGAATACGAAGACACGGAGTCGCAGGAGGTCTCATCGAAACCAGTCGAGCACGAGGAGACAGAAGCAGAGGAGGAGGTTTCCTCATCCCAAGTTGAGAAACAAGATCCCCGGTCACAGAGTGATACATAGCTGAAGGTCATTTCCATTTTAAGCTGGAGGAGGGATGATGAATAAGAAAAGCGCAGAGACAGATATAAACATAAACAAAAATATAGGAAAATCATCTAAAAAATTATATAAATAGTCTCCCTTAGCATATTCATACACAAATTCTACAGTGTCACCTTGTTAGTTCTCAAATATATACACTGAGTTTTGCTTCTAAGTTATTGTATTTTTTGTTGTAAAGTAGACTTTCATCATTTTGATGCATTCTTTGGATTGTCTCCATAATGACTACACACTAGTATCATACTCCCTTGTTTAGAGCATCTCCAATAGTTTTTTTTTTTAAGTGTCAATTAGGAGATAGATAGGGTGCCTAAGGTTCGGTTTGCAGGAACCGAACTTTTAATTTTTAATTTTTTAATTTTTATATTTTATTTTATTTTATTAAAAGCTAACTATGAAAAACTAAAAGAATACCAATGATGATACTATCAATAGGAAAGAATGATGTTTCATGTTTGCATGTTTGGACACATTGCTTGTCTGTTAGAATTTTAGAAATTATATAATAGATATGCTATTTAGTATATATATATATATATATATATATATATATATATATATATATATATATATATAAAGTATATAATTTATTTTTTTGAAATATATTTTACAGTTCTAGAGCCGGAACCGTCCATTTGTATAGTGCACGGTTTGGTTTGAACCTCCTTATTCGAAGTGAACCGTGATCATCCCTAGAGATAGAGGGGGGAGAAAAATATAAAAGAAGGAAAAAGAGAAAAAAAAATAATTAAAAAGCAGGTATGACGCCAATAAAAAATTAATTCAATAAAATTAAGTTTTTCTTTACACGTGTGTAATAAACCTTATGACTAGTTGTGGACTCAATTAGTGGCTAGTCTTGGATTCGACTAGCAAATTGATTTGTGGACTCGAATCAATCTTCATTTCTTCAACCTTAGATTTAAGTTCGTTGACTCGTTCTTGAATCGAAGGAAACTAGATCCGACTTTAGTTGATTGAAGATTGCATCATCGAGGTATTTGAAGCTACAATGGGATTCTTCTAAGTCGTTGAGGATTCGAGACAAAGGGTTTCTCGCGAGGTCTAAGGTATTTTTATCCATCTCTATCTTTACTTTTGAGGGCATTCTTGAGACAATATTCCATCTTATTTGAACCTTGGACCAGGTTCATATCAATTTACCTTAAACCCCACGAGAAACTCTTTGTCTCGAATCCTCAAAGACTTAGAAGAATCTCATTGTAGCTTCAAGTACCTCGATGATGCAATCTTCAATCAACTAGAGTCGGATCTAGTTTCATTTGATTCAAGAATGAGTCCACGAACCTAAATCTAAGGTTGAAGAAAGGAAGATTGATTCGAGTCCACGAATCAATTTGATAGTCAAGTCCACGACTAGCCACTAATTGAGTCCACAATTAGTCATAAAGTTTCTTACACAAGTGTAAAGAAAAACTTAAGAATTTTATTGAATTATAAGCCTCTTCAAAACTGATATGGATGTGCCTTATTTATAGGTATAGGGCATCATTGTAATCCTAAATACAATGGGAAAAATAGTCATAAACCTAATCTAGAATATATGTAAATATAGTCATATTTATAAAGGGATTTAAGGAATCATTTTTAAATACCAAGTAGTGTTTTTCTTCATCTTTTGCAAATGAGCTTGACTTGGATTTCCACCATCTTTGCACATCACTAACGAAGACTTGCCTTAATTGTTTGGAGCGGGTGTGGCACTGTGGCCTGTTCAAGCGACTACACATATCTTTTCCATTTTTTCTTTCCTAGCGGGGCCTCACAAAAAAATCATTCTTGCCGGAAGATCTCAACTATTATAAGGGGAAAAACCTACAAATTGAACAAATTGTTTGAAATAGGTTAGTTTATGGATTCAATTGTAATTTTTTTTTGAGTTTAGTGGTCTAATTACATTATCGTGTGCAATTCGATGACCTATTTGACCATTATTCTATTTTTTTTTTTTTTAATTTAAAAATAAAATAAAAAAATACTTAGTACGGACTATAAATTAAACGATATATAAAAGGGCCAAATCGTTAAATTGATCATGCAGCGAATCCCGGTTTGGAAACTTCCGTACATGATGATACAGAAACTTCTGCAAAAGTAAAACCTAGAGACAAAAAGGGTTTATCCACCGGTTTCGCCACCGTTTCTGCTCGTTTTGCCATCTCTCCTTATTCGGTATACCGTCAGTCCAGTGATCTCGTTAATTTTATTGCCCTAATTTCGTTTATTGTAATTAAAGGAATCTCTACAATCTACATCAGTGTTTCGGCAATTTGATAACGGAGTATAAATTACGATATGCATAGAGATTTCTGGAGTATAAATTAGGATATGCATAGATTTCGTCTTCATCTTATTCCTCATATTGTTTCATTATCTGTTAAATATATCTTCAAAGGCATTTACAGCAAATCCCTTCTTACTAAAAAAAGGGTAAAAGTTCCCCCTTAATGACTTCCAAAACCTCAGTTGCTTCTGTTTTAGTTTGAATATTCACATTGTTTATTTGCTGATGTTTGTTTTTCTTTCAGTTTTGAGCTTCTAAAGGAGCAATTGGGAAAAGGACATGGCGTTTTCTGATGATGAAGCTGAAGCAGAAATAAATTCTGTTTCGAACTATGACTTTGTGGACGATAACGATGAACCTATTTCATTCTCTGAGTTATCAGTTCAGTGGAAAGGGGGTGAGCGTTTGAGTGGGAAGAAGAAACATATATTTTTACGCGGGGATGCTGATAATGGCAATATGAAGGTTTATGAGGAAGTTACTGCCTGGAAATTTGATTTGTCAAGCATAAAACCAGACATTTGGGTGCTACATAAAAAGAATAGCTGGATTTTGCTTCTGAAACCTAGAAAGGCATTTGAGGATACAATTATTAGGACAATATTGGTTAGTCTGCATTGCTTGCATTTCTTTAGGAAGACTCCTGACTCTTCTGTTAAAGCCTTTTGGGATCAGATGCACAAAGTTTTCAGGTTCATATTATGATCCATTACAATACTCTCTCTATCTTTTATATTTGCCTTTTGGGTTTTAAATGTTATTCCTCTGTTTGTAGTTTTGAGCCAAGGCCTTCAGAGAATGATCTAGTGGATCATATGGACCTTATAAGTGAAGTTGTAAAACATGATGATATATTGGCTAAATCCAAGGTTTGTGATGCTTCTTATGATTCGTTGATATGCTTCATGCAGAAAATCTGTCAATCTGCTAATGATTTTTTTTTTTTTTTAAATTTTATTTTCCTTCTGAAATATTCCTTGGAAACTAAAGCATCTGTATTTATGTTTCTGTGGGAGTGTGCAAAATATTTTATTTATTGATCTTGAGGCTTTTTACCACATTATTATAAAAATATTTCTGTTAATTCTTTAGTCTTATAATCTTTTATTATAGAATAATTCATGCTTTGTTCTTCAGGTATTACTTACACTCCTTAAAGAGAGGCCTAAAAAGAAGATACTTCTTGATGAGGTTAGGACTACATCTGAAAAACTCATTACACAACACCCCTGTACTCTCTGCAGTGTAAAAATTCAAGAGTAGATAGGATAGAGGGTAAGTAAAAAATAGTCTATGAACTTCTATTAGCATGCTGACTGTCTTTTCGCAGGTAAATGATAAAACCCTTTCAGGGTTTATAGTTGATGATCTAGGTGATGAAACTTTTGAAGATGGCTCTGATGATGATGAAGATGACCAGTTTGAATCTGTGTGTGCAATCTGTGACAATGGTGGTGAGATTATTTGGTATGTTTCTTTATTTTTCACAATTTCTTATGCATGTATCTCTCTCCAAATTAAATTTGTTAGGTGCATGTTCCATATCCTTTTTGGCATATCCATGTTTTTCCAATTTGTTCATCACTTCTTTTTGTTTTAATAAGGTCTATTATTTTGCTAATGCTTATGGCTTGATATTTTTCAATCTTTGTTGCTGTTTCGATTATGCCCTTTGTGATACGCCTCAAACCTTGTTTTCAATATTTCCTTTTTCTTCAACTTATTATCCTACCTTATATTCTATACTGAAAGCAAACCTAAGTACAGTCATTATATAATTAAAGAGAATTAAATATTTTGCATATCGTATATATCTACAAGTGCTAAATGCCAACTTTTGGTATCTTTTCCAGTTGTGAAGGGAATTGCTTGAGGTCATTTCATGCAACTAAAGAAGCTGGTCGTGAATCTGATTGTGAATCTCTTGGATATACTCATGAACAAGTTGATGTACGTTATGATGCGTTCTTCACTTTCTTACACTTCTGCAAAAGAGTTAGATAAACACATTGGAGACGTGTTAACTTAGAAGATATTCCAGTCAACCTCTTTATTTTTCTCTCTTCCTTATATCCCCTTGTTTATTAAGATTAATTTTTGGCATTAAAGCTGTAGAAATAGTATTCTTCTTCTTTATTTGTTTTCTTTTTAATTTTATTTATTTATTTTTATAAAAAAAGCATTATAACAAAATGTGCCTGAAATGTGTTATTAGTGATTTAGTGTGTTGGAAACTAGTAAACTGGGGAAAAATTCTAACACAAGTAAGGATGTGGTTGTGCCCAACATGCCCTCGATGTTGGTACATTTAGCTATGAGTGTGTTGGTGCTTATTTTCTTATTGCTTCTGTTCTCCTTATAAAGTTTTTTTTTTCTTTATTTTAATGGATTACTTGTTAAATTTATGCATCAATGATTTCTGCAGGCTATTCAGAAATTTTATTGCAAGAATTGCGAATATCAAAAACACCAGTGCTTTGCCTGTGGGGAGTTGGGGTCATCAGATCTATCCTCTGGTGCTGAGGTATGGATCTTTCCTTCATTTTCTTTCCACTTAACCCCACGTTTTATTGGTGTCGCAATGTTGATGCACATTCTATTGTATGAAGAGGGTATAGGAGTTGTTGGATAATGTATTAATATGTTAGCATGGGTGGCATTAGTTTTAGTTTTTATAAATTGTTTACTCAGTTTTAATTTGTAATGCCTGTGAATTATGTTGATCATTTCTGGTTCACAAATGAATCCAGGTCTTTCGTTGTATTAATGCAACTTGTGGTCGCTTTTACCATCCACATTGTGTGGCCAAACTGCTTCATCGTGAGAAGCAGTTAAATGTGGATAATCATCAGAAAAAGATTGCTGCTGGAGAAGATTTTGCTTGCCCCATGCATCAATGCTTTGTTTGTAATCAGATTGAAGATAAGAACAATAAGGAATT